TTTAATAAAAATTAATTATAATGACTGATTTTAAAGAAAACAACATGTTAAGCTCGACTTTTAAAAAAAATATAATAAAAAAATAGATAAAATAAAAAAAAAAATTAAAAGAAATTAAAAGAATAGAGGTATTGTTACAGTCATGTCGGTATTGACGTTTCCGTCAGCAAACTTTAACTGTGATCATTACTTTTAATCTTCTTTATGTTTTGTCTTCATACTTGGCCACAACAACATTTGGGCAAGATCTTTAAGTAGACAAGACTAAATTTGACCTTCATTCATAAATGACCTTGACCTCCAAGGTCAAATGTCTAAATTTTGCTTACTTTTTTCTTCTGATTTTTGCTATTAGATAACTTTATTATTTTCTAATGGATTGTCCTCAAACTTGAACATAATAGTATTTTTAGGATAGACCTTCGAGTTAACCAGACAGACATTGATCTTCACTCATAAATAACATTGACCTGGAAGGTCAAATTATAGAATTTGTGTGTGTGTGTGGGGGGGGGGGGGGGGGGCTGTAACTGGCTATAACTTTGTTAATGATAAATGGATTCACTTCATATTATAACACAACATTCTTTAGGGTATGACTTTCATGTATAAATTTAAATTGACCTTGGCTTTTAATGACATTGACCTTGAAGGTAAAATAATTGTATTTCCACTGATATTTGCTACAATTGGCTGTATCATGGTAATTAATTTATGGATTATCTTCATACATTGACAAAACAACACTTTGGACAAGACACACTATCCCAAAAAATGTAATTAAATGAAGTAAAAGGTGGAACTGACTTTGAACTTGAACTTTAAATAATCTTGACTGTGAAAGTAAAATTTTAAATTGTCATAATTTTGTTATTTATGTACGGATTTCATTTATACACAACTTGTTACCAATATATATATTTAATAATTAAGATTTGGCCTTGACCTTAAGTTGAACATGACTGTTAATGTCAAATTAATGAAATTCTCTTGTTTCATTTTTGTTTTGTAACTGGCTATAACTTTGTTATTTATAAATTGATAACCTTTATTTCCAGACATTTTAGGTCGAGACCTTTATGTATATTAAATTAAAATTTACTTTAACTCATGAATGACCTTGACCTTGAAGAAAACTTATTGAATATTAACAGATTATCAAATAATTGGCTGTAACTTGGTAATTAATCAATGGATTATTTCATACTTGGACAAAACAACCTTTTGGACAAGACCTTCTAAAAGGTTGAACTTACTTTAACCTTTAAATGACCTTGACCATCATGGTCAAAGTATTAAATTTTGGCGGTGGCTCTTGTTAAATTCAAAATCTAACATTAAAATTTTTCATTTAATTACATTTTGGGATAGTGTGTATTTTTAAGTGGGGTATGGGGAATGATTAATTTATTTAAATTTCAAAATACTGCAAGTATCCTAATATAACCTTTTTTGACAACTTAAAAGACTTACATCTATTTATCTTAAATTTCAGAGTCATTGATGTATAGACAATGCACTAATTGTGAAATATGAGAATATAAGTATAATTTCAATTTTAAAATGCTTAAAATTTAAACAGCAAATCTGTTTACACGTTCCTTGTTTCTTTCCCTTCTTCATGAACTTTTACACATATCTTTCTAACATATAAAGTTAGTAAATTTTAGAACCAATATTTAGTTTGTTTGTTTGATTGGGTTTTACGTCACAGGTTATATGGCGATGTCCAACTTTACTGTAAGATGAATACCTCAGGTGCCTTTCCGTGCATTATTTCAGGCACAAACGGGCACCTGAGTAGAACCACCCACGTTGCGTAAGCTAGCTGGATTGCTTCCTCACATGAAAGAATCCAAAGTCCCTGTCGGGATTTGAACCCACAGCAGTGAGGAACAAAAATTTGAAGGCCACGACCACTCGGCCACGGACGCCCCACCCGAATATTAAGATTTTAGCTTTTCTTTTCATATGTTATACACAAAATTGTCTAACAATATTTGTTACTGAATGAGTGGGATAAAAAATACTATATTTTACGATGTTGCAAATTTATAAGTTTCGAAAATGCAATAAAATCAAAAATTTAATATGTTGAAATGATTAATAACTGTAATAAAATAGTAAAGGATGAATTGACATTAATTTCCATGAAAAGTTAATTATTGAGGTTAACTATTTAAAATATGATAGAATATATTATATCTATGGAAGAAAGACCTGTTTGCTGTTCAGATCGGAATATCTGTCTCTCTGAAACCGCCCATGAGCTACCCAGCAACTCTGTGGACTTTGTTAGGTAACCTTAGGACGGATATTACAGTCCGAACTGCTGCATGTACTATCATTCTGAAATGCACTTGTTGTGCTTACTTTTATATAACAATTGTTGGTCATTGTCGAAATATGAAAAATATACTATTAATTTTAAAAATAGATTTCGCTCTTTGAGCACAATGATTACTTTTTAGCAGACATGCATAAAGGGATGCAATTTGTTGTGGATAAAAATAAATTAATTTCCATAGAGTTAAATCTTAAAGGCCCATTATGCCTCAAAAATGATTTCATTTTTATTTCTCAAAAAGCTTTTTCATGTTGGATTTCTTTTATAGTATCCAAATAATTACTCATTGGCTAATAACCAGAACTATATTTTTCATCTGTTTCTTTTTGGCAATAAGTACAGTAATAGTATTTTGTATAGAAGTCAAAATACTACTTTGTTTACATTTTGCTACTTTTTTGACAAATTATTTTACATTAAGTGCTACTTTCGTAAGATAACAAGTACCAAACATTCTCTAAAACCTTTATTCCAACATTATAAAATTTATGTTTGCCCTTTCTAAAGAAGTAAAAAGATATTTGTTTCTGAGGCCTTTAATTAATGAGTAATGAAGGAAACTATTGGTTACTGTATTTACCAGTTCGACTTTATTGAAAAGTTTCTAGTGATGCTTTGTTTTTTTGTTAATCTATTTTCCTACAGTTTGCTTTATGTGAAATTATTTTACATCTACGTGTCTAAAATGTCTTCAGATCAGTTTTGTTCAACATGCAGGCTATAATTTATCTATTACTTCCCTGCCGCTTAGGGAAAGGGTTTGTTTGCAGGAATCGGTTTGCATAATATTCATGTCCGCTCTACTACGTTCAAGCTGCTAATAAGTATTAAAAAGAGGGCCATTATGGTCATGTACTTGAGAAATATTACTGGAAAAGGTCACAATTCTGCGATTCAAAAGTCAGTAATAAGGCCACATTAGGTTGTCATTTTTTAAGAGGTCAAACATTTGTATTATGACCACTAAGCAATAATACATGCCAAATATCAAAGCCTTGGGCATTGTAATTTTACATAAAAAGCTTAAAATATGTTTTACATGTACTATGTAACTCTGCTAAAACTTAATGACCTTTATTAAGAGTGGACTTTTGACTTCAAGTGCATGCCTGATGTTTCTTTGCAAAGGACTCTACAAAAATAATATAAACCATGGCTGTGGGGTCAAAATTAGCCCTACCCTGGGGTCACTTAGTTTATATTGACTTGGATATAGGAAAATACATTTAAGTCTTAGTTATGAAATTATGAAATTACAATGTTACAGGCTTAGATAGATATTCATCATTGGGCATTCTACAAATATTCTTTTTTAAATCAGCTAGAGTAAAAAATGACAAACCCAATGTAACCTCATTACTGACTTTAAATCAACACTGAAAATTTAAAATTTGGATCTTTTCTGGCAGAATATATCAGGTGAGGGAGCCAGGACCATCAGGCCCTCTTGTTTTCCTATTTTTACATGGAAAATACTTATTTCATACAAGTGACAATATAACTGCATTTTGAAACATATTTGATAAAATGATGCAATGAAATTTCAAACATTAATTTCTTTAAATTTTGTTTATCTTAAAATATTGCAAATTCCCAACAGTATTAAATACATTTGCTATGTACCCCAATCCACTCAGTTACATACTTAAATGACAATTAAAGTAGAACACGTTTTGGAAAGAAAAACAAATTCTCAATTTTTTATTTACTGATAAAATATGCCAGAAAGAATTTATATGTATAAAATATTTTGAGGGAAAAGAAAGAAAGTGCAAAACTTTACTGTTAAAACATTAAGTCACAGGTTTAAATTGAAAAAAAAAAACAACATGTATTTTTCCTCATATTTCACAACTAGGGCATTGTCTATCGAGCAATGACTCTGAAATATGTAATAAGGAGTAGATTCAAGTCTTTTAGACAGTCAATATAAAGTAATCTGAAGTATTTTTAAATTTTAATAAAATTACCATTTTACCCCACCCACTTAAAAACACATTATCTTAAAAATTATACTAAAATGATAACTTTCATTGGCACATTTTGTTTGTAAAAAAGTGGTTTCCTGTAAATCAGTCATAAGGAAACAAATCATGATTGAATTGCAAGAAAAAAATAGAAAATGTAAAGCAAATATTAAAAAAAAACAAGCAATTTTTAGAAATATTTAGCCTTAATTATCGGTTTTTTATCATAAAAATTCTACTAGCATTATTAATAGATACCAAAACTAAATTAAATAAATATATTTAATATCAAAATGTTTAAAAACAACCTTTTTTAAAAGTTAATGCTTGCAAATTTAAGTAATAAATAATAAATGATTATTTTCATATTTTTGGCGGCCATCTTGGACGCCATCTTGGATTTCTTAGTCCGCCAGCACTTATGGCAAAAATGAAATCCTATTTCGTAATCTAGGGACCCAACCGAACATTTTGGTATATGAAACTCCCTGTTTATGATCGGGGACCAGTTACTCCCCTAAATAAGCGAGTTATTTTAGTCTATTTGCAGCACTATAAAGAGGTCAGAAACAGATGAATATATGCACTATATAAAGTAGACCTATTACGATCACTGACTTAGTAAATCAGTAAAATTCTTAATTAAAAAAGGCTTAAAAATCAAAAGTACAAATCATTATTATTACCTGATAATTTTCAATACCAGATTCTTCATATTCCCTGCTTCAAACTGTAATGTATACAATCATTGTTAAATTTTATTTATAAAACAATTTTTTTTTATGAAATATAAATTAAGATTGCTTATCACTATAATTTTTATATTTTTGTCAATAGAAATTAGAATTTCTACCTTTTCAAATCAGAAAGAAAATAGTACAGTTATATGACAACACTCAATATAACACTAGTAATTACATATCAATATATTTGTCTTACAGGTAGATTATAGCATGTATTGTTTCTTCCTTGTTATCAAAACCATACATTCATGCAAATTAAATGATTTTAAGATTTAAAGTGGAAATTGTTCAAAGTCAATACAGTCAATACATGCAGGCACAGTGAACAAAACTTATAAACCCTCATTGTTTATTATAATATACCTTTAACAAATCAAACAAGCGATTACAAATGGCTTTTGACAAATTTTTTATCAATATCATCTTCTTAAAGCATACAATCTAAAGGCATATTATGCCTCAGAAATATTATTTTTCCTTTTGTAGAAAAGGCAAACATGCATTTTATTATGTTGTAATAATGGAAGTTGCCTATTACCTGAAGAAAATAGTGTTAAATGTGAAAAAAATTTGTGATAAAGGTAGTAAAATGTAAACAAACTGATATTTTGTCTTCCATACTAAATACTTATTCACTATACCTGTACTAATTGCCAAAATACAAAGGTGCAAAATGTAGCCGAGCTATATGACCAATCAGAAAGTTTTTGGAAACTGTAACAGGGAATTAAAAATTGAAAGTTTTTGAAAAATAAAAATGATAGAATTTTAGGCTAAAAGTTTAAAAAGGGCAAATTGTTACTTTCAGTTTGTTTTCACTTTTTTGACAAAGTGCAAAAAAAAAAAAAACATGTTTTCTACAAATGTGTTTTATTTTTTAGTGTGTCATGTTCGACGCGGCTGTAAATGTGTTAAATATCATTGGAAATAAGTGAAATTACTCATGGGTATTAAGAAATCAATGTTTTAACTTCGCATGTAATCTTTTGTCAGTTTTGCTTTAAGGTATTTTTATGATTCTCAAAATGTGCAGTGGAGCTTTATTAGCTTTGTTCAGTGTAGTTAAGAGTACATAATTCATTTATATCAAAGTTGCACTAACATAGCTTAAATAACCATTTTTTTCAAAAGAGGTAAGAAACATTTTAAACATTTTATCAGGCATTCCATAATTGATAGATTACCTTGAAATAACTTTTTAAGGATAAAAAAACTTACAGCATGTTTTAATGTAGCTAATTCATATACCACACATCCTAATGACCATACATCACTGAAATAATAAAATTGATAATATCATGTATACAATACTTGTATCATAGTTTGGGGAGCTTTCTGTTGAAAAAGTGTCAGAGTTAAATCGTATACATAAACATGCACAGTGCGGTAACTGAAGTGCCGCACTCCAGATCATGCCCGTTGATTGGCTCAATTTTGCTGGGGTTTACATATTGTGATGGCAGAGAAAGGGAAAGCGGCAGAAATATCATATTCAGATGCTCGATCATTAGTTACTTTTTCCAGGGGTTTAAAATTGTGACAACAGGGAACGTGTTTTTATGTTTGACTATGATACAAAAGAGAAAGAACACCAAAACACTCGGCAATCTGATTTATACTCGAGGGCTACGCCCCCTCGTACAAATCAGATAGCCTCGTGTTTCGGTGCTCTTTCTATTACTTAAATATACATCTTACTATTCACTAAATGAAATAGATAATACTTTGGTGGTACTTACACATAGCATTCATAATACAAAATAATATATACTCATAAAATGTACAACAAATAATTAATTAAATTATTAATAATTAATGTTCTGGTTTACACCATTGGAAATGAAGTTAATGTATTATTAAACAGCATCAAACATTTCCTTGCATAGAAATTTCATATACATGTAATAAAGAAATCCTGAATAAATGTTTTTCTTACCTTTTATTATTATAAGGTTTATTTTCACAGATTTCTGGACTGAGATAGTAAGGTGTACCTATACATGTACGAGCCAGCTCTACTGTACTATTGAGCACCTTAGCTATACCAAAATCACCAAGCTGTACCATCCCTTTACTTGTCAGGAATATATTCTATAACATAAAGTCAGTGTATATCAACAGTTAAAGTTATAAGAGTCATAAAATCTTACTTAGGTATATTGTAGAGGTACTGACAAACTGTATATGATATATTTCAATGCAAATTAAATTTTCATTACAACATCATGTTGCCAAAAGTCAACTTTATTTCAAGTTTTATTAATATTGACATTAATTTAATATGACATATAAGACCACAATATACAGTTTAACTTTAACCAATGCACTTTATCCATGATATCATATATTAAGGTCATAATAAACCATCATATATACTGACATAGATTATGCTTCTTAAAAAGATATTAACTTGCTTGCACAATAATTGACTTACTGCATTTTTATACAACTTTTTAAAACAATAGCTGAAATTGTTGCTGTTCAGACATCTACATTTTGATGCTAAATGTGCATCTATAAATAGAATGGTTTCTTGCTTTCAACTAACCTGTGACTTTATATCTCTGTGTAGGATTTTTCTGTCATGTATATGCTTTATAGCCAGACACATTTGAACAAACCAGTCCAAAATCTGAATCAAATAAAATATGAAAGACAGTTCAAAAATATGATAAGCCTCTTAAGTAACAAACAACTCATATATACAAGTTAGTCACTGAAACATAATTAAAGCATATAGAAAGGTCACTTATTTCTTCAGTATATGCACTAATTGCTTTGTTATGATTCCATTTGTTTAGCCCCAAAAGAGCCATGTGTTGAGAGGTTCAGACAGACAGTTTTTATGTCCTGTACAATATTAAGACTAAATGCTCCTTATATCACAGTCAGATTTCTCAAAATTGTTTCAAACAATGTACAGCCTAGTGAATTTCCAGTCATATAGAATGTAGCCAGAAATATGAAGTGAGAGGATATGTGTGTTCCAGTATTATAACATGTGACTGACTAAGTCATAGACATATATGTTCCTCAACAGAGACTATTACCAGCCAAGTTTAGCTTTTACCAAGATATAATACTACAATATAAAGTTAACACTTTAATCTAATCTTGTACCCTAGATACCCGACTTTAAAATACAATGTAAATCCCCTTTCCCAGCTAATTTGATTTTATTGGGCTTAAATATATAAGCAAATCAATCATGTACTGAATAAAATATTTTTGCATTGTCACTATTTCCGAATGTGATTAAAATCTTGAAATTACCAAGTTCTTTTATGTAGCCTCTGCACAAATATAACAAATCTCATCATATGAAAATAATGGCCAATCTACCACCTACATAAAAAGTCACATTTTCAATGAATGACAACAAAATTCTTATACAGACATACCTGTTCTTCACCAAATAAAATACCCCTCTGATTATTGATTTTGGCATACAAATCACCTGAAAGAAGTCAATAAGAAATTAAATATGCAAGGCTACTTAATTACATTGTATATACATGTATATTTTATCATTTTGTGACCTTATATATATGCTTGCAGTTTGATCTGACTTTCATGTCACCTTCAAAATACTAACAATTCATTCTTACTAACCTTTAGACAAAAAATTGTTGATGCACTGGGAAAAAATCTCTCTCATTGTCAAAACAACTGGCTTACAAAGAAACATAATGCTCTGAATCACTATGATAAAGAATTTATTCCAGAGATTGAATTTATATGAATTTTGGTAGATATGTATCCACATGTTACATCATATAGAAATCCCTTAAATCATTAATGGACAGTTTAAAATTTAAAGCAGACAGGTCCATTTTACATATTATACATGGTAAAGTTTAAAGACTAAATTACACATGGAATACTAGTTGTGATCAAAAAAATGCTTTTGCAAACATAGGCCAGTCTGGACATGAAATAACCTAGCCACACAAGGAATTTTTTTCAAACTTCTTACACACAAATGTGTATGTTACTTTCGGAAATGTTAAAAACCTATAATGGCATACTAGTAAAACTTATGTTAGCAAAGTTCAACATACAAAGAAATAAATTAATAAACTGCTAGTTTAAATGGTATGATATTAAAATCAGCCATAAAAGAAAAGAAGCCTGACATTCTGAATCCACAGCTTCAAATGTCCATCATGATTTCATCAATCCAGAAAAATTTCTTGTTGAACAATATTTTAGTGAAGAATGCCTATTCTCACTGATATTTTACTTTTAAATAATATTTTCATTCTAACAGCATACATTTTCAACTTTAACTTACCCCCTGAACAAAAGTCCATCACAATATACAGACAACCATGTTCTGAAAATACATGAATATACAAGATTCTAAATAAATGTACCTCATGAAGTTATGTATAGTCTTCATAATTATATAATTTAGTAATAATTTAATAAAAATTCAATATGTTGATCATTTTGAATCTTTAATGAATTGTAATAATCTGCAAATCTACTTGTATGTTTTTATTTTCTCCTCTAAGTTGTGACTCTTTATTTTTTTATTTTGCTAGTTATATTTAATTATGCTAGTAAATATTATTGTAGGAGATAACACTTGTGCATTATTGTATTTAATCCTTGCTTTTACAATAATAGTTTGTACATAAAAAGTCACTGTTTGTGCATCTGTACATTAGTTGTAAATTTGTTCATCTAAACCTATAAAAGCAGTCTATGCAATGACTTACATAGAAATACAGATTTGTTTAGATTGCATCATTCAGATTCTGTTCATGAGAAATAAAGTGTTACTGTCAGATTATAACTTAGAGTATTAGGATTTGACTTTTGTTTTTTAGGCATAACCATGATTTGTTACCAACATTAATAAAAACACCACAAAAATCTTTACCTTCGAAGGACTCTCTGTAAGCAACAATATTTGGATGTTTTAACTGAGCTAACACTGAAACCTGTAAAAATAATAGTATTAACATTTTGATTTTTTATAGAAACTTATTTAATTTAATGTAATACATGAACTTGCAAGTCATTGTCACAATTTGTGTGAAGATAAATACAGTAAAATAATACTTTCTCTAAAAATGTTATGTGTAATAAAATACACAACAATGTATATTAATGAAGGGTTTTATAAATCTAAAAATATCCAACAGATATCCTTACTTCTTTTCTGGCCTCTGACCTTTCTTTAGAATTCATCTGAAAAAGGAAAACATAAAATTATGTTTAGGTCACTAATGTGTATCACATGAACAGCTCTTAAACAACATGCATAGAACTGCTTTATTTAAGTATTATAAATGTTACAAATGTAAAAAAAAAAAAAATACTTTGAATCATGCAATTTGATAATGTTGACAAATTTCTTGATTATTCAATAGAGCTTGCACTAGTAAAAACAAAAGATTACAAAGTTTCTGTCGATAATATTTGAAAGAAAAATAAGGTAAATTTTATGTGTAATCTACTATTCAACACGTTTTGTTAAAGAGATATTTCCTACAAAAAATATTTGTTTATACATAAAGATAACACAGCTATAATATTATGTAAGACTGCTATAAAGGTTAACATAAATAACTGTGAAAATAAATTTAAAAGGGTGATAAATATGATAATGTCAATGTCAATTGTGCACCATTTTAACATCTTTCATTATTAATTCAAACTGATGAAATAAATTAGAATGCAATATATACAATCCAGCCTATACAATCTAACACAAAAATATCATGCTATATGCTTCATACAGCCTTATATAATAAAATATAAAATTCTGACTAAGTTGAGTTACCATGGACTATTAAAAGTGAACAATTAGGGAATATTTAGTCAAATTAATTGGTCAGTTTATATTGAAACCAGTAGGGTTTTTTCTTCTTATTTCCATTTGGTAGACAATAAAAAATACAATCAGTCTATAACATTGACAAAAACTCCAAAATGAATTAAACTAAAAAAAACTGGAAGTTCTTAAAATCTTCCTTATAGTTAATGATAATCATTCTAAAAATGTGTTTTAACAAATATTGAAATATACAAATTATAACCTCTTGTTATGCCTATGAAATTAAAAACATTTGGCTATAGTGTCAGAGTTTGCACTCCCAAGAAATTCAACACTGTAGAAGTTTCAATCTCAATGATACTTAAAGAAATTTTAAAAGTAACTGACTAACTGTCATCATACAATGTGCACAGAAAAGAGGATATATGTCCAATCGATAAATCTAAATATTAAGAATCCTTACTAAAAACTTTTGAAATTATAAGGTGGTTCTTTTCTATCAGCTCCATTTGTTTATAGTGAGCTCAAGATCTAAGCAGGCATTATAGGGCCATTACAGAATATTGCTATATTGATTTTTCTATTTGTATGCAACAATACAATATCAATTCAGAATTTAGAATATCATTACAATTTAAATCTTAAAACTCATTTATTCATGTCTTATTAAAATATCACTCTACTTTATGTAAAGGGAATTTATAAGTCACTTTTCTTCCTTTTTCTTCACTAGTTTGAACATTGGATTTATATATATTTTGCAGAGGTCTGTAAGATATGATAACAAGAGAACATACTTTCTATTGGTATTATGTGTTTGTGATTTATAAAACATGCTTGCATACACTATAATAACAGATTAGTATGTAATTATTTAAGTGTACAAGGTATTGAATTTAATATATTGTCAATATTCTTCTTTTGATATATCAATACAAAATTTTCCATCAATGATTGCCCTAGAGCATTACAGTTACACAATTAACTTCAAATCTCATACTGATGGTTTTGAAAAAATATGGCCATTAGTACTTAACAGGGGAGAGGGGTACTGGTAAATAAGTTTGCTAGCTCTTAAATTTCTGTATCTGTATCTGTTCAAGTACGTAGAAAGACCACTACTGGTATTATTCTACTGACCTGGAGGTTCAGAAGTGATCTGGGAAGGACTTTTTAAAGTCCTCAAATGTCTGCAAATGTTTGTAATATGATTCAACCAAGTTGATATAAGTAAAACTGAGATAGGAATTTGAGTCCACATGTTTTAATTTGGTTTTATTCAGTTCCTTAAAAATGAGTACTTAAAATTTTGCTTTTCACACTAAGGATGTAACACTTTTTTGCATTAAATTTCATGCCACAGGTTGAGGCCTAACATTCCAAAGCGACTAGATCTAATTTTTCTTGGAGTTTGACAGGATCTGAGGTATTACGTATCTGTCTATATAACAATCATCTGCAAAAAGTCTAACCTGTGATTTTACAATGAGTGGTAGATCATTTATATGAGGCGATCATGCGGGACAGTATCAAACACTTTGCTAAAGCCTAAGAGTTATCATATCATATCTTACAGATCTCTGTATTTGGAAGCATACAAAGGTTCACAAAGGGAAAACCAAACAAATTGTGCGCCAGGGCTTTTTATTATATAGATGATGGTCCCCTTTAGTAAAGTAAGGTCCGACATCTATGAGTATGTAATAGCGAGCTCGAAGAGCTGGCCCAAAGGGCCTGCTTGCAAAGCGAGCTTTCGGTAACGAGAGTACCTGCTAGATAGTGATGGTTTTGAAAACTATCGTCCAAAGTACTGAATTGACACATCGCAAATTTTCGAATTACCAAAAAAAACAATAAAAGCCGAGGTATTCTGACTGAAAACGGAAGCGTAGACTGGTGTCTTGCACACTTATATGGGAACCATAATAAGACAGGTAACCATAATAGGACAGCATAATAGGACAGGGAACCAGAATAAACGGAAGCAGTGTATAAAATACCAAATTACAATTTTAAAACAAAAAATGTAAAATAAAAATGAACGATTATTTTAAAATTTTTCACAGTAAAAGAAAATCGAGCTCGCTTTGAGACTTTGTCTTTTTCATGTTATCAGTTTGTAAAATCAGTAGGTCTTGAAATATTGAGACCAGTTTAAATTCATACCCTCATGATGCTAATTTCTTTGATGACACACTGACTTCCATCTTTCTTCAATTTTACTAGATCTGCCTTTCCAAAAGCACCCTCTCCAATTTTTCTGACTTTCACGTATTTATCCATGGTGAAATTTCTAATTGATCACACAGTTCTCATGAGTCACTGGTGAAAGATTGATAAAATATTTTCAATTTCATAGACATAGGTGGTTTGGAAAAACGCAAATCGTGATTTCAACTGATCAAAAAATCGCTATCAACTGACTGGTGACAACGTAAATGCATATATTTCAAACTAAATTTCTAAAGAAGTTTTCTCAACTTCTAATCAGGAGATGAATAAAAGCCATGGTTAAAACATTTAGGTTTTTCTTTGGGTAACTTTTGGAATTGTCGGAAACCGGAAGTTTATAAGGTTGTTGCTGCTTACCGAATTTCGATAATTTTAAACGAAATAATTTTAAACCAAAATATGTTCAGATAACATACATTTAGAATATTTAATCAAAACTACAATTTTTAGCTTGTGAAAAACTGTAATTTTCAAATCACTATCACTCTAATTTGTTAAAATGATCATGTTAAATAATATTATAGAAAATATTTCGCTCAATGTCAAGGTGAAAAATGGCAGCCGCTGTCAAACTTGGTCGACATTTGAAAGAACTTAGAATTCACCTTTGTCAGAAATCAGCTGCAAGCAAAGGTGTAAGGTAATGATCAAACACGACATCCTTTTTATTTTGCAATATCCATCTTTTAAATTCATTTTAGAATTAGGAAATATTTCATTTTAAATTCAATTGTAACACGTTTTCGCGACAAATTACTTTTTTGTTTATGTTTTCAAACGTTTAAATTACGGGCTACATAAACATACTATCAAACTCAACGATAGTTTTATTAATGAGGATTTATAAATGTATCACTTCTTGTTTCAAAGAAGAGACAGGCAGGTTAATAATACTTTAAATTCAGCTATCATAAATTTGACTATAATTTGCATAATTATTTTAAAAAATCTATTGAAATCAAAATAATACGGAGAAGTTAACTATATCCTAGATTAGACCTCGGGGTCTAAACCAGGAGTATATATAAGGTTCATTCCGTTTTCTTTAGTGTATTATATAATTTTACACACAGGTAAACGTTGCGTGGCCATGACTTACACTATACCCCCGTCCCCCCTCTACAACCCAAAACCCTAAAAAAAATTATGAAAAAAAAAAATTTATGACTAAAATATTATAAAGGTATTTTACTCTACTTTCATTTTGCATAGAAATATCACTAGCATCTCAATTATCAGCGCATATATTCATCAATTTTTCACCAATCTTAACAATCTTGGTGTCAAATCTTAAATTAATAAATACTCTTAAAGAAAACACTGGCACCTTCGCTGATTATACGTAGCAAGTACTATTCAAGCCCAAACTGTCAACAAATGAAACTCTGGAGAGATCTGATTACACTGTTTCGTTATACCTCTCTCGAGTAAACACACTAAATTCACAATGAATGAATATTTCGTTGTATTGCGTATTTTAAATATGATAAAATTAAGTTATTATTTGTAATAATTGTTCAACAAAGCATCATATGAAACTATAACGCACCTTTTTTCCTATATGTCAAATTCTCAATCCAAAATGAAAGTAAATTGGCACAGCAGAGTTGTTTCCCTTTAAGTATTTTCATTGGTCCGAGGTTTTCCTGTGACCAATGAAAATACTCCATTTGAAAACAATCTGCAGGCCCATTTTACTTTCATTTTGGAATGAGAATTTGACATATAGGAAAAAAAAGGTGCGTTATAGTTTCATATAGATGCTTTGATTGAACAATTATTATAAATAATAACTTAATTTTATCATATTTTAAATACGCAATACAAAGAAATATTCTTTCACGGTGAATTTAGTGTGTTTTACTCGTGAGAGTTTTACCGAAACGGTGCAATCAGATCTCTTCCGAGTTTCATTTGTTGACAGTTTGGGCTTGGATATTTCTTGCTACGTATAATCAGCGAAGGTGCCAGTGTTGTTTTCTTAAAGAGTATTTATTTTTCTAAGATTTGAGACCAAGATTATTAAGATTGGTGAAAAATTGATGAATATATGCGCTGATAATTGAGATGCTAGTGATATTTCTATGCAAAATGAAAGTAGAGTAAAATACCTTTATAATATTTTAGTCATAAAAAAAATTTTTTTTTTTCATAATTTTTTTTTAGGGTTTTGGGTTGTAGAGGGGGAACGGGGGTATAGTGTAAGTCATGGCCACGCAACGTTTACCTGTGATTTTACATAGGGGTCTAATCCAGGCGATTGCTGAGAAGTCAAACCGACCGGGCATTGACTTGCCCGGCTGTAGACTACACATATATATTTAAAAGAAAATCAAATAAAAAAACAATTAAAAAATATATACAATTCTATACCTATATGTATCAATGATATTTTCAGTGTCAGTACTAGTAAGGCACCGCCATTTACAATGTAATATAATGTAACTCAGTGATAATTTGCGGGGTATTCCGATAACGGAACAAATCTCAACTTTTGGATTAATAATAATAGTCGAGTGTTCTGAGTGAAAACAGAAAAATGATAGGAATTATTTAACGACTTCCCCGTTCGTAGGCTTTGCTTAATTTCATATTAGAAGATGGATGGAAGATGGATAAGAGAAATGGGAATGTGGGTAATTTTTATGGTTTGAGCTCCACACCTCAAGCCTCAGGGGGCAGGGGCCATGAATTTCACAATTTTTGTTCCCTATCACCTGTAGGTGCTTTATGCAAAAATTGGTTCAAATCTGTTCCGTGGTTCCAGAGAAAAAGCTTAAATTGTTAAAGAATTAATGCATTTTCACTATATAATCCCCCCTCTCTCCAAAAAAAAAAAACACAAAAAAACAGAACCACTGACCCTGATGCCATGAAATACACAATTTGGAAAAGACTAGTTCTAGCTTCCATAACTTTATAATAGTGTTGCTTTTACTTTGACGTTGTGCGACAGTAAAGTTATGGGTCAACCCTACTTGCAAAGGCTACCAGAATTTTGGCAGTTTTAAAGATTGCATTAATTTTTATGGTTTTAGCCCCACCCCTCAGGCCCGAGTCATGAAATTCACAATTTTTGTTCCCCTTCACCCATAGATGCTTATGCCAAATTTGGTTGAAATTGGTTCAGTGGTTTCAGAGAAGAAGCTTAAAATGTTAACACACTACACAAGACAACAGACAAAAAGAGATAGCAATTATTGCTAAGGTCATCACTCAGGTGGTCTAAGAAGCTCAGCTTAGCATCCTTGATGATGTTCCGGCCTGAATACTACATAAATACATGAAAACTAGAAAATAAGTTGCAATGCTGTTTTGTCAGTGAAAGAATCTGGTATTTTGGAGTTGTGAAAAGGGCTTTTGCAAATAGTGAAGGAGCCTTTATAAGGCAGATTTATGTTAAATACACTGTGAATAAATATTGCAAGATTGATATCTTTATATAATCCTTCAGATTTGTTGTTTACTTATGCCAGGGTAGTAATGAATATCCAAATATAATTCCAGAGAGTTTATAGAGACACAGTATGTTCCTCTGAAGAAAAGCAATCCCAAGTTTCCTATTTTAATCAGAGAATGCAGTGGAGTAAATCCTGTAGTCTATGCCAGATATGGTAAGTTTTGTGTTAAAAAATCCAGATTGTTCAGAATATTATTTTGTTATTTTTTTCTTCCATTTGACCTTAAATTATTACATGTACTATATTTTATTTATAGAAAGTTTGTGGCATATTGCAAGATCATTATGTAATTATTTCTATTTTTATTATTACAGCTTTGCATAAAAATCCCTTGCAACTTTATGTAAATTATTCACCTAGCATTAAAATTGACCCACCTTTTGTTCATTTGTGACTCAGACTAATATCTATATAAGTAGTTTAATATTGAACTGCAACTGTGAAATATTTTTGTTAACCATGACTTGCAAGTTAAAATTTGCCATATCAAAGCCTCATCTTAAGGTTAGGAGCTGTCATGTGCCATTATTATAGATAGGTAGGAGCCCTTATTATAGTTAGGGCAGGTGCCCTTGTTATAGATAGGGCAGGTGCCTTGGTTATAGGGCCTTAGCCTAGAGTAAACTTTGTCTTTTTTAGCTCGACTTTTCTATGAAAAGGGGAGCTATCCTACTCGCCCCGGCGTCGGCGTTGGCGTCACACCTTGGTTAAGTTTTTCGTACCACCCCACTTTATTTCAGAAGTATTACAAGTATGGCTTTGAAACTTACCATACTTGTTTCACCATCATAACCTCCATCTACAGACAAGAGTACATAACTCTGTCAAGGTTTTTGACAGAATTATGGCCCTTTTTTGACTTAGAAAGTGTATTGAGCTTGGTTAAGTTTTTTTGTACCACCTCACTTTATTTCAAAACCATTGGAGGTATTGCTTTGAAACTGACCATACTTGTTTACCATCACGACCTTCATCAACAGACAAGAGGACATAACTCTGTCAAGGTTTTTGACAGAATTATGCCCCTTTTTGACTTAGAAAATACATTGAATATGGGTAAAATCCACTTATTGCCTTAACCCTTTGAGATATTGCTTTGAAACTTTTAATGCTATTTCACATCATTACCCCCATCTGTACGCAAGAGAAGGTAACTCTGTCAAGGATTTGTTTTAAAAATTAAGGCCTTTTATCGACTTAGAATCTTGGTTAAGTTTTTAGTACCAGTCCACTTTTTGACTGAACTGTTTGAGATATTAATTTGAAAGTTGGAATACTTGTTTACAATCATGATTCCCAAACATGTCCAGGAGAAGGTAATTCTGTCAAAGATTTTATTTGAATTATGGCCCTTAACTGTCAATGTTTTCTATTATAGGCAAGCACTAAAAAACTTAAAAAATCTAAAAAAATTCATTCCTATCCACTTGTTCACTTTACCATAAATTATGTCATATAAACATTGCTGTAATATTCAAGGGTATCAAACAACTAGTTCACTTTAAAAATACAGAGATTCTTGTATTGCCTTTTACTGCAAAAACTTTTTTTATTGGCAAGCAATAAAAAAGTCGAGCGCGCTGTCTTACGGACAGCTCTTGTTTATATTCCAATATTAAAGTGTGTAAAATAGACCCAGTAAAGAAAGGCTGCATGGCTGTATTGTAATATAAATCCGTGAGTAATCTAAGGATTGCTGGCAGCTTGGGTTCAAATCAGGGGCATGTCCGTTCCTTGAGCAAGAAACTTTACACTCGTTGCCACTTACTGGTTGGTTCCAGGAATATATTCCAAGTGTGTCTTTTAGATTATAGCTTCCAACAAACTAAAAAAAATAGTATAAACTAATAGCTTCCATTTTTTTGTTGAACTTAGTAATTAATTGTTTCTGAACATTTCGCAATAATTACTTTCATGAGAAGCATTACTTGTAGGTGTTTATATGTTGATTTTTTATTTCAGAGCATGGTAGAGAACAGTGTGTACCATTGTCAGACAAATCTAGCAGTGATGTGTTAAAAACAATAGAATCTTTGTCATCAAAGTCATAGACATTTTATAATGATAAATAATGATTTTTTGATACAACTGAAGCAAAATAAATACTTGTAATAAAATTAGATAAATAAAAAAGAAAAATAGAACAGTTCTTTTTGCTTATCCTGGCTATAGATTATCACAATAGCTCTTTTGAACAAATCATACAGTTTAATATGTTGAGTTTCATTCAGTGAAACCAGTTGCTATGAAGCTTTACAAAGCACTTATTAAATATTTCATTTATTACAATATTCCCTTCATTCACAAGGAACCTTGTATATGTGTACATTTATGTAAAAAAGGTTTATCACCCATATACGTTTATATGTATTGTGTTTTCTAAGGTTGGTTCTCAGTGATGAAGGTTAGCAGATTTAATTTAAAGTATTTTGGAACATACTAGGACATTTTCATCCCAATAACTGAAAGGCTATGGTTCTATGTAGATGCCTCAGCTTAAGCCTGAAAATAGAGCAGTTAAAACTTATAGCTGTTCCTATTTGTTACAGTCCGAAATCTTCTTAGAAACATGTTTATTGAAATGCATTGGAGCAATCTGTGTTATGTTTTGAGAATAAATCTAGCCACAAACCTTTGGGAGGAGAACTTCGGCACCTCTTATCAGGAGCCATCCTCTATTACTGCGATAAATTGTAAAACTTAAAATGGATAAGTAAGATTCTTGTCAAATGTCTGTGCATTATGAGATCCTTTACTTATTGTCACAGTGTCATACAATTTAATGAAAATCAAGACAGACATAAAAATTGACATTATATTATCATAAACTAAAACAACAGACTTTAATATAACATTATTATTTACACCTATCACAAATAATTATACCACAACAGACTCATGAATATCACAAGCTGCTTTCAATTTGTCTGTATCAGGATACTGTATTAGGATACAACCAGGATCATGTTTCAACAATGATACCAGACTCTAGGATCAGGTACTTGGTCTTCCTCCACTTGTAAAGCGGTTAATTTGCCACATGACCTTTACAGTCATAGTGTAACAGTGATGCAATATTAAAAAGAGTATGGAAGTGTCTTAGAATAACAAAAAACACGAATCGTATTTCAAAACTTTTATTAACAAAAAAGCAAAAATAAGAAGGCAAATTAAGAAAGCAATACAGTCATTCAAAAGCATCAATAAGGCTAGCTTTGTTAACACCCACAGGACATAATAAAACTAGAATACATAATGATTTTAAAGTCAAAATACTTAGATTAACATTTGTATTTCAAATGATAATATGTAACAAGTAAATTTACTGTTGAAGTTCAGCCACCACATTGTTCCAGGGTAGACTGTCAAGCAGTTTACCAGTACTAGAGGCTTCACTTTCACAAGGAATCAATAACTTGAATTACTTTTGTACATCAGTGGTAGAGTGCAAATGACTGTAGGAGGGAGTAGAAAGGTTTTCATAATCAATCACAACTAAAGTGATCTTCACAGTTGGGGAATCGAACCTAGGTTGCCCAATTCACAGTCCAACACTCTACCTATTGATGTAACTGGACGACTGGGGGAGATTCAAAGGTTTAAAGGAGAACTAATATAGATCTAGTGTAAAATGAGAAGCAAAAGCTAACTAGCCAGAAAAGATTACAAACAATATATACATGTATAAAAACATTCCATTAAAATTAATAAAACACTGCTTTAACAATCTGTTCCTTTATTGCTCACATTTAGGTATTTTATTATTTTCTAAATTTTATATCAACAAAAAATAACAAAATTTATTTCAAGTTATGTATTTCATGAATTATAATTAATTTATTGTGTACATATCTTAAGTCAGGCCTGCTGAATCCGAGAAGAATTCTTTCCTAGCACTATTACAGCCACTTTCATGTAAATATTTTTACCATTTTTCAGAAAATTAAATCAGGCAAACTTAAAGAATTATTTTGCAAAAGTACTAATTTATTTAAATAAAACAAAAACAGCAAATAAAAACAAACAATAACAACTGAAATATATGTACAAAACTATGTTACCATGGACTTATTTTCTTATTTATATGGAACGATTTTAAGAATATATTAACCAAGGCACCAATCATAAAAAGGTAAATAACTACAAGCACTTTAAATCCAAACTTTCTCAGTTTGAACAATCTGATAATTTTAAAAGTTCTTCTTACAACTACTATGTTAGATATCCACTGAGAATAGAACCTGAACAGTTAAGGCAAGAATTTTTCAAAAAAAAATCTTGAGTGTAATACCTATCAATAAATGAACACCAGAAAAAATGCCCTCTATACATTAAAATCTAGAGTACAACTAATTTATATAAACTTGCATGTACTTAAATGTCAAATAAAAAATGCTTTTCCATTTCAATTAATTCTTCAATGCAAATTTTTATGCCAACTAAAAAAACTACATTTTCAATCAATAAATGCTTGAACGCATATTTGACGTCAATTAGAAAAACATTTCCTGAATGTGTATTTCCAAGTTAATTTGAAAAACTACATTTCCTATATGAGTGAACACAAGAAAAATGTCAAGTGAAAATACCCTTTATGCATGTAAACGTATAGCATGCACTATCAATTAATACAAAAATCAGTTTAATTTTAATTTGAAAAACTTCATATCCTTACAGTTTTACCTTTGTTAGCTTTATCTTAATACAATTTGTTAACATTTACAATACATCTACACACTACACATTAAATACAAAATATTCTCTTCTAAACAAGAGCACCATCTTTGTAAAACTTCACATTTAAACTATAAAATTATGCAATAACAATATTTGGATTTTTTTGTACATAATGATAAAACTTTGAGATAAATGGTGTTTCAAAAACAAGTGAAATTCTTAACTTTGAGTAAAATTGTAAATTTAAAAACAGAAAACCAGTAGAAGCTATGAGGACGAGCAAAGGGTTTTTTTTTTCAAGAAGCCTTGAGACTTAGGAATATTCTAAACAATTACCTCTCAAAAGATATCTCAATAATTACAATTTTCTCTCAAAAAGGTATCACTTCTAAATACCAAGAGCACCACTAGTCTGAAATCTATTGAGGTAGCCAAAAATAAAAACAAAGCTAGTGAATTAATAATAGAAGCACTGTAATATCCAAAATTTGTTACCCTTTTCCCCTCCTTATTTTCAGAAACAGCACTATGCAATGAAAATTATGTAATGCAAATGGCTACTTTTAATTCATAGGATTTTTTTTAAACCTTTGAAAAGAAAAGATACTATTCCAATTATTCAAATTTTTGAAGGAGCTACATAAAAATGATATTAAAATAAAGATTACTGACCTCCTCCACCTTACTACTTTACTACATTACAAATACTCAATACTTAAAGCAATTTGTTTGTAACAAATAACATGTAATAAACTGATCAATAGAGGACTCATTGTCAGTAGCAGTTATTAATTCAAGTAACTGTCCATTTGTTTGATTGCATTTTACATCACACCGACACAGTATAGGTCATATGGCGACAGTCCAGCTTTACTGGTGGAGGAAGACCTCAGGTGCACTTGCATTATTTCAGACAAGAATGGGTACCTGAGTAGAACCACTAGCTGGATAGCTTCCTCACATGAAAGAATACAAAGTCCCTATTTGGATTTGAACCCACAGCGGTGAGGGGCAAGTGGTTTGAAGTCAACGACCTTAACCACTCGGCCATGGACACCCCAAAATTACTGTCCCCTCCCACTAGCCAAAGCAGAATATACATGAAAATAGTAAAATTTTGAATTTAGGAACACCCACATATTTGTTCATAAAGTGGTGATCAAGAAAACTTCCAAGACATACATTCTAGCAATGCCACACAAAAGCTATGCACATTTCCCAAGTAAAAGAATGTGTATGCCTAGATCTTCCAAATTTTTCAACTCTGTATGTATATCTTCTTTGTTTTACAATTCAGCAATGAAATTAGTTCAAACAGCATCATACAGTGTTAAGCTCATATCTAGAAAGGTTATTCATTCTAGTCTGTTTGTATTTGCTTTATGTAATACAAACAGTTCAACTGTTTAAACATATATATATATATATACAGGAAAATAATACAAGTATCAGTGACAATCAACAAATAAGTACTAGAAATTCACTTCTCAACATTTAGAAAATGTGTGGGTAGGACAGCTTGCTCAACTACTCTCAATGCTTGATGACAAAAGCTGTAAGCTTGGTACCAAATGATTGTAAGCTTGGTACCAAATAATTGTAAGCTTGGTACCAAATGATTGTAAGCATGGTACCAAATAATTGTAAGCTTGGTACCAAATGATTGTAAGCATGGTACCAAATGATTGTAAGCATGGTACCAAATGATTGTAAGCTTGGTACCAAATGATTGTAAGCTTGGTACCAAATGATTGTAAGCTTGGTACCAAATAATTGTAAGCATGGTACCAAAACGATTGTAAGCATGGTACCAAAGGATTGTAAGCTTGGTACCAAATAATTGTAAGCTTGGTACCAAATAATTGTAAGCTTGGTACCAAATGATTGTAAGCTTGGTACCAAATGATTGTAAGCATGGTACCAAATGATTGTAAGCATGGTACCAAATGATTGTAAGCATGGTACCAAATGATTGTAAGCATGGTACCAAATGATTGTAAGCTTGGTACCAAATGATTGTAAGCATGGTACCAAATGAGTGTAAGCTTGGTACCAAATGATTGTAAGCTTGGTACCAAATGATTGTAAGCTTGATGCCAAATGAGTGTTAGCTTGGTACCAAATGATTGTAAGCTTGATGCCAAATGAGTGTAAGCTTGGTACCAAATGATTGTAAGCTTGATGCCAAATGAGTGTAAGCTTGGTACCAAATGATTGTAAGCTTGATGCCAAATGAGTGTAAGCTTGGTACCAAATAATTGTAAGCTTGGTACCAAATGATTGTAAGCTTGATGCCAAATGATTGTGAAGAAGATGGAACATTTTATCAACTAGCATATGCAACCAAATATATAATAATACCACTAACAAATGTATATTGTATGAAAACAAAAATTTCCTAAAATGGTAAATGTAATTCTAAAACTTGTGGAATTGTATAATCATCTAAATCCTTCCAGTCTTCAAAAAATGTTGATAATAATATGAAATGAAAAAGATACTGCTTAATACAGTTAAATGGTGGAACTATGACATATGTACTTATTTGTGCTATTTCATTTAATTTCATATACAATTTTCATAATTTCACATAATTTCATATATTTTTTTATTATTTCATATAATTTCTTTGGAAAGCCATCCAAAGCCAATGCAATATCAATAACATATTGAAATAAGTACTGGCACAATGTAGACAACATGATTAAAACTGGCAAATAAAGTATACATGTAGCAAAGTAAAGTATACATCAAAAGTGGAATGTAAATATGCTTTCTTAATCAATAATAATTATTAAAGTAACACAATCATGTTATATTACTTGAGATTCGGCTAATTTGAACATTAACATTTGATTGTCTCCCCTTAACTTTCTTCAAGGACAATAAAAAAAACCAAACAAACAAAAAACTTCCAACTGCATATTAATATCTTGTTAATCCCCCCCCCACCAGCACCCACTGCCTCTCCCAAAATAATCATATTAAGCAATTTAGGGTATACTCTAATGAAATAGAAACTTAATTCCAGTTTGAACTAAATATACTTAAAAAGAGCATACCAGATTTAGCAAATAAAAAACCTGAACAGCCATAGACCTCTTCATCACTTTTAAAGGGTGCTTCACTTTTTGCCTTGGGTAAATCAAGGACTTTAAATTAATGCTAAATATCTTATTTGCATCATATTATTTTCAGACTAACTGCAAAAATTGATATGCTTTTAATATCTACATAATTATCTAATACTGAGTGTATCAAAAACTGTTAAAATGAAAGTAAATAGTCAGTAAAAAAACAACAATGCATTAATTTTCATTGTATAAAATTATATTTATCCAGACCATCTTACTTAGCACGGCACAAGGTAGTCTGGTACTGGTGTAACTCACCAGGAACAATGGTTAGGAAACTACCCCCCTATAAGACTGAATACTGTTGGGAAAAGGCGTGAAAAATGAAACAAACAAACAAACCATCTTACTTGAGTTATTATTACACAAGTTCCTGAGAAGATGATGAAAGGTTTTATTTCCTCTTTCATTTCTTCAACAACCTTGAACAATATAAAATATGATAAAGAATCATAAAAGCAGTATTAAAAAATATTGGTGTTTGAATTCGCAGGTGAACAATCCATTAGTTTACTCAAAGTCACTTAGATGGCCTAACAGTCTGCTATTAAAAATGTATGTTAAGCTCTGTTATTTACGTGGTTAATCATGTTAAAAAGCTTAGTTTGATCACAAAGGATCATCAAGTTGTTTAAAATGATTTTTTAAATTAATTAAAAATTTTCTTTTTAAATCTGTAACAGTCTGCTTATACACAAACATTTATTGTGAGTGAAAGGCCATTCAAAAGTACATTAAATGCTGTCTTATTTGTTTCTTAATAATCTTCAGTTGTTTTTGGTCTAATTTTTTTCTTTATTTTCATTGTTGTTTTTTTTTTTCCTTAAAATCCAGTGGCCCACTTAAACGGATATATAAAATATTTTGAAAAATCCTGACAGGCGTTCTTGCATAAGATAGCCACAATACAAAAACTAAATACATTTCTCACTGGTTTCAAAGGACATGTTTGAAAAACCATTCACAGCTGATGCCAATGTTTTCACCTACCAAAACTACAGGACCATATTCCTAGATTTTTTAGCATATTTTATAGCTGATATTGGGTCATGTTCCCAATTGAAAATACAAGTAGTGTATTATTTTCCCAATCAACAGGAAAAAATTCCCAATCAAAAGCTACAATATAAAAATATTGAACAAAAAATTCTAAAATTTTTGAAAATAAGGACTTCTTCAGTGTTATAGCTTAAATGTTTGAAGATGCCATCCTTTACAGTGATTGTTTGCATTCATTTTAATCACTGAAAAATTTCAGTCATGCATTTTTTCTAAATTTTTAAACAAAACACTGCTGAAATTCCCAATGCTATGGGTATGGGTCATGTTCCAAAAATCCTGGGGGAAAAAAACATGATATTACAGTTGTAAGTTGTGTACTTGCAAGCCACTTGAATGTTTGAAAACAGGAATTTGTTGGAAGTATCTAGAGGCCTTCATAGAATGCCACCAAACTGTGAAAAAAAATCTCAAAAGGAGAGTGAAAACACTTCAGTTAAATATTTCAGTAAATTTGTTCCTATTCATACCATAAAATGTTTTAGATATCCTTTTAATCAAAGGCCTTTTGTTTTAAATTTTTCTGAAAAATGGTGCTTAAAAGCATGGAAAAATCAAAACATTGTAACAAAGAAAAAACAAATAATACAATATATTAGTGCAGATAAATTCGTTGTAATTCTAGATGCCCAGGAGACAATTTGTCTAGCTTTAGCGTATGCTATCTGCTGGTTAGGGTTCTCGTCCCCTTCATTCCACCACATCACAAAGCAGCCTTCTGGTGTAGTATCATTTACAACCTTCCAGGAGTGATCCCAAACTTTCTCACAAAAATCTGAAGAGCTCTTGTAAATTTCAGAAAACTTTTTGCAGGTGGAACCCAATGGACATTGTGGTGTTCCTAAATAACAAAAAGATGTTGTATGATTAAGTTTAATATGATAACTTTTAGTACAAACAATACTTTGTCATAACTGTTATCTAACACCTCTCAGGTCTGGACAACTATCTAACAGAATCACAAATTCATGTCTTATTAAATAGCACCAAATGATTCAAATATACATCAATCACATGATTAAAATACAATCAAAAATTCAAGTCAAATTTTTTAAAATTTACATTTTGGCATTCAAAATGCAAAATTTGTTCACCCTATGTCATAGTTACAACTTAAAACAATCATAAAATAGTCTATTTCTTTTCAAAAAGATGGTTTTTGCTTCTTCAAACTAAAGCACTTGAAGTACTGTCAAAAGTTTTAATGTGTTAACCTTTTACCCCATGAGCATGGCCGTTTTCATTGAAAAGCCTCCTGTAACAAGTTCAAACTACTATGAAACTATAAACAAGAGGGCCATGATGGCCCTGAGGTCGCTCACCTGTATAGTGGCCCCCGCAGCAGGGCCAGCTTAAACCCTAGGGCTTTTTATTTGAACAAACTTGGAAGACACCCATTAGAAGATGTCTCATGTTGTTTAGTTTTTACTACACACATATACTGAAAACAATGACCTGCCCCCCCCCCCCCCTCCGCAGGGCCAATACCTGCCCCCCCCCCCCCCCCCCTCCTGCAGGGCCAATACCAAAGGGATTTTATTTGAACAAACTTGGTAGACACCCATAAGAAGATGTTTCATGCTTAATATCTAAGCTCTAGCTCATTGGGTTTTTTAAAAGAAGATATTTTATGTTTTTACTATACAAATATATCTAAAATCAATGACACCCGGGGCGGGGCCAATTTTGACCCCAGGGCTTTTATTTGAACAAGCTTTGTAGACACTCACTAGAAGATGTTTCATGCTTAATGTCTCAACTCTAGCTATTTGGGTTTTTTCATAGAAGATTTTTGAAGTTTTTGCTATACACATATAAGGAAAATCAATGACCCCCGGGGCGGGGCCAATTTTGACCCCAGGGCTTTTATTTGAACAAACTTGGTAGACACCCATTAGAACATGTTTCATGCTAAATATCTTAGCTCTAGCTCTTTGAGTTCTTTAAAAGAAGATTTTTTAAGTTTTTACTATATGCATATAGGGAAAATCATTGACCCCCATAGAGCCGGGCCAATTTTGACCCCAGGGCTTTTATTTGAACAAACTTGGTAGACACTCATTAGAAGATGTTTCATGCTAAATATCTTAGCTCTAGCTCTTTGGGTTCTTTAAAAGAAGATTTTTTAAGTTTTTAATATATGCATATAGGGAAAATCAATGACCCCCTGGGGCGGGGCCAATTTTGACCCCAGGGCTTTTATTTGAACAAACTTGGTAGACACTCACTAGAAGATGCTTCATGCCATTATCTAAGCTCTAGCTCTTTGGGTTTTTTAAAAGAAGATATTTAAAAGTTTTTCTTTCGGTTGCCATGGCAACCAGAGTTCTGCATGGAATTAAACTCTTTGAGCAATTTTTAAAGGTGACCACCAAAGGAACATTCCTGTGAAGTTTGGATGAAATTGGCTTAGTGGTTTATGAGGAGATGTCATTTAAAGTAAAAGTTTACGGACGGACGGACGACAGCTGGACGCCGGACGAAATGCGATCACAAAAGCTCACCCTGTCACTTTGTGACAGGTGAGCTAAATATGCTTCAATACTAATGAAACTTGGCACAAATGTTGACTACACCATAGCCTCTGTAACAGCATGCTCAATGGTAAATTTCCTGTTACCATGGCAACGGGGGGACGTCTCAAAATTGTAAAAAATCACTATTTTGCATTGTTTTTTTCCATCAAAACTGATTTCAAAGTGCTGCAACTTCTCAATGAATTGACATAGAGTAAAAGGCTTTTCAGCGTAGGTTACTTGTTACCCAAGATAAACCTGAGGCCATTTTTAGCCTGTCACATGTCCAAAATTTTCTTGGCGATGAGGGGGACTCCGTCCCCCTTCAAACCCCCCAAACAGAAGGGGACACATCCCCCTTCTGGCAAACCCCTGTTGTAATATTTGGATGGGGGACGGCGCCGAAAAAGTGGTCACTTTTTTTAACAACATTTCTCAAACGAAAAACAGTGTTTGGGGCCTAAATAGGGCATCTTTTCACTGTTTGAGGCCTCAAAAGGGGGAGGCAAATAGCCGTCGAAACACGCTTATATAAGGGAAAAGGTTAAGTAACATTAATCCCTTTTTCAATAGTTTTTGTTGTTTGTATGTACAAAAATAATGGAAGTTAACTAAAAACTGGGTTAAATTGTTCACTGCAATTCCTCTAATTGGTCTTTCTAAAATTATGTAGTATCAACTCAACTGTTCATTACTTTGCATGTTATGTTAAGAATAAGTATATTTTCAACAGGAACAGGAAGGTCATTAATTCAAGAACAAGGAAAAATTACATATATAGGTTGCGGCCCTTATCAAAAGCCTCTTTTAAAGTGTGAGGCTTTGATAGTAAAAAAAACTGTTGTTGTCTAATGTTCTAAGTCAGTTCTGTGCCTCACAATACCTGTAACACTTGATGGATTGACTGGTGTTTCAGAATGTTCATAATGTATACTGGTACAACAAAAGCTATTGATAGGACAGCGTGCTCTACTACTCTTTTTAAAATTTCGGGGGAGCATATAGTCGTCTGGTCGTCCGTCCGTCAGTCCGTCCAGAATTCGTGTCTGGCCCATAACTTCCTTATTTGAAGTCGGATTTAAAAACTATTTCACAGAAATGATTACCATATTGAGACGACGTGTCGCGCGCAACATTTGGGTTGCTTCCTTGAAGGTCAAGGTCACAGCATGACCTTGAACAAAAATCTTGTCCGGCACATAACTTCGTTATTTGAAGTAGGATTTTAAAACTATTTCACAGAAATGATCACCATATTCAGACGACGTGTCGCGCAACATTTGGGTCGCTACCTTGAAGGTCAAGGTCACAGCATGACCTTGAACAAAAATCGTGTCCGGCCCATAACTTGGTTATTTGAAGTCGGATTTTAAAACTATTTCACAGAAATGATCACCATATTGAGACGATGTGTCGCGCGCAACATTTGGGTCGCTACCTTGAAGGTCAAGGTCACAGCATGACCTTGAACAAAAATCGTGTCCGGCCCATAACTTGGTTATTTGAAGTCGGATTTTACAACTATTTCACAGAAATGATCACCATATTGAGACGACGTGTCGCGCGCAACATTTGGGTCGCTACCTTGAAGGTCAAGGTCACAGCATGACCTTGAAGCAAAATCGTGTCCGGCCCATAACTTGGTTATTTGAAGTCGAATTTTAAAACTATTTTACAGAAATGATCACCATATTGAGACGATGTGTCACACACAACATTTGGGTCACTGCCTTGAAGGTCAAGGTCACAGCATGACCTTAAAGCAAAATCGTTTCCAGCCGATAACTTCGTTATTTGAAGTCGGATTTTACAACTATTTCACAGAAATGATCACCATATTGAGACAATGTGTCGCGTGCAACATTTGGGTCGCTACCTTGAAGGTCAAGATCACAGCATGACCATGAAGCAAAATTGTGTCAGGCCCATAATGTCGTTATTTGAAGTCGGATTTTACAACTATTTTGGAATTATCACACTTCGAACTTTGTCTGGGACATAACCCTGAAACTACAAAAGATATACTTTTCTGTGTCCAAATCCTAGTAGGGGAGCATCACCCGGTTCAACCGGCTCTTGTTTTTTACTATGCTTGATAGTGAAACAAGACCTGGAAAGTGTAGAATTTTCCAAGTTCAAAAAAGAGCCACAATTCTTTCAAATTCCATGTAAGAGTTACTGGCCTTGGATAGTGGCCTCCTATTATGCTCTTAAATAAGAGTGTGAAGTTTAAACCCATTCCCTTTAGTTGCTTTACAGATACCAGTCTGCATCAATTGTAACGCCAAATGTGTACAATAAATCTCCCTATTCTTAAAATAGTCATGTTAAAAACTACAAACAATTTTCATTCAGTAAGGACTTATAAACATTCCTCACCAATTAATAACAATTTGAATTATGATAATTATTATAACACTTACTTTATTATATGAATAATGTACAAATGTATATATTTTATCTGCTTACCAAGATAATAACCTAATATATAAATACCAATTAAATATTATCTTTTTCAGAAAGTTTAGTAAAAGATATTAGTTAAATAGTCAAAAAAGTGTTAACAGTTTACTAGAGCTGCCATAGGAACCCAACATTTCAATGACACAGAATTTTTAGTTAATTTATCATTACTTTTAAAGGTGAACATTTCGAAAGTCTTTCAAGGATTATAGTATTTACAGTGCAACATAAAATTGTCTTAATTCTGACCTTGACCTTCAGCAAGCACATGTTAAAGTGATGATTTGAGCAAAGTTTAAAGGAAAAGTTTCAAGAGGTACAAGATATATGCAGTGGACACAAAATTGTCTAACATTTGAACATAAAGTAAGAAATTGTTTGTTTCAAAATTCCTTGGTTGTTCAGGCAAAAATGTATTATATGTAATAAATGAATAAATTCAAAGAGATTTACATTGCATTTACATTTGTTTGTCTGGGGTTTCTTATGCTGATTCTGATACACAACATTTTATTCTTATAATGCACCCAATTTGCAATTTGACAATGGCAATTTTTGCTTTGATTTTAATATACTCTAAAAATTGTGACTTCTTGTAGTCTGTTTTTAGACCTAGAATACATGTTTTACTAAATATTTTTAAAAACCTTTGCAGTATATATTTCATCAGTACACAAAATTTCTTTGTTTAATATAGACATTTTATTGTTGTATTTGAACAACTGAGAAGTTATTTCCTTGAAAGTTACTGCTATGTAGCACACTAAAAGGGTATTGTAAATCAGGGCATAATTAATTTTCTGTTGAGTTCCAGATTATTGTAAGTATAACAATTGCTTAGTGACAACAAAAATGCCCAGCTGCAGAAGAAGCAGAAATTGTTATCAGATTGCATGAACAAATAGTATGTCCCCATAGAAAGGCTTAGCAGTAATGAACTAGTGCCAAATGCTACAAGAAGATAAGACTTTCTAGGAAGAAAAAAAAATGAAGATTAATTAAAACTAGAACTATCGCTGAATGCGATTCATACCCCCACCAATGTCCTTGACAGAAGACAACTTGGAAAGGTGGTTAAGGGAATAACTTAAGTGGCACAAATACATAAAAAGAAATTATCTCTGGTGAAAAAAAGACATAATTGTACAGGTAATAGTAAAAATATCTATTATCAAATCATGTTCGAAACAGTTTACAAATAACCTTTCATTTTCCCAATATACTAAACTTTTATAAGTCAATTTTTGACCTTCAAGTGTGGCCTTGACCTTCAGCTGGCACAAGGGTATGATGGGTTCTGCACATCGCCCAATTGGAGAGAACATTTGAGTAAAGTTTGAAGAAAATCCTTCCATTAGTATAGAATTTATAGAGCGGACACAACATATTGTCTAGTATTGATTGTATGTAAATTTAAAGACTTAAAAAGGGGGATAACTTTGTCAAAATGCAATACAGAGTTATGAAACTTGACCTGCATATCGTAATTGTGACACCTCATATATCTTTTAAGTTTCAAGCAAATACCTATGCTAGTTTCCGAAATAATTTCAAGAACATGTCTTAATCTAAGAACATTTTCTAAGTCAATTTTTGACCTTCAAGTCTGACCTTGACCTTTAGCCTGCACAAAGGTGACATGGATTCTGCACATAACCTTGTTTAGGTGAACATTTGAGAAAAGTTTGAAGAAAATTCTTCCATTAGTAAAGGATTTATAGAGCGGACACAACATATTGTCTAATATGTGATTGTATGTAAATTTGAAGATTAAAAAGGGGCATAACTTTGTTAAAATGCAATACAGAGTTATGAAACTTGACCAGCATATCTTAATTGTGACACTTCATTTATATTTTAAGTTTCAAGCAAATACCTCTTCTAGATTCAGAAATATTCAGATATATGTTAAAATTAAAGAATATTTTCTAAGTCAATTTTTGACCTTCAAGTGTGACCTTGACCTTAAGCCGGCAAAAGAGTGACATAGGTTCTGCACATAACCTTGTTGAGGTGAACATTTGAGCCAAGTTTGAAGAAAATCTTTCAATAAGTGTAGGACTTACAGAGCGGACACGACATACTGTGTAATATTTGATTGTTTGATATTTGACCTTCAATTGTGACCTTGACCTTGAGCTGACACATGGGCAACATGGGTTCTGCACATCCCATTGTTGAAATGAACATTTGAGCCAAGTTTGAAGAAAATCTTTCAATTAGTGCAGGACTTACAGAGCGGACACGACATATTGTGTAATATTTGATTGTTTGATATTTGACCTTCAATTGTGACCTTGACCTTAAAATGACACATGGGCAACATGAGTTCTGCACATTCCCTTGTTGAGGTGAACATTTTAGCCAAGTTTGAAGAAAATCTTTCAATTATTGTAGGATCTACAGAGCAGACACGACATACTGTCTAATATATGATTGTGTTTGATATTTGACCTTCAATTGTGACCTTGACCTTGAGCTGACACATGGGCAACATGGGTTCTGCACATCCCCTTGCTGAGGTGAACATTTGAGCCAAGTTTGAAGAAAATCCTTCAAGTGGTATAGGAGTTATAGAGCGGACACGAAAATGGAGACGGACCGACCGACCGACCGACTGACCGACCGACCGACGCGACAAAGCGAATCCATTATAGCCCCCCCCACATTTTGTGGTGGGGGTATAATCAAGAAACAATGCAGTGAGATGATCCGGTGCAACTAGTCCCCTGTCAAGATATGCAGAAACTTGCCATGTTAACAGGTATTGATAAAAGGTGAAAGATAAGGGAAAGAAATATGAAGGAACACAAGGAACAACTGCATGAAAAGAGGAGAATGAGAATGATCAAGTAACATTTTTGGATCCAAGAAGGCATCTGGGATACTGTAAACGTGAGCACTGCATAGGCATGGCAATATACGCCCGAATGCAAGTTTGTTTTAAGTTATTAAAATTTAAAGTAATCAAAAAAAAAATTTTTTAAACAGAGAGGAAACCCATTTACAACATTTGTCCAGAACATTTTTTATTTCAACAAGATATGTTTGTAAAACATGTATGCCCCTTATCGGCAGCCAATTAGTCATGTGGCCAGGTTATTGTGACTGACTTTTGGCCTAGTGACCAAACAAGAGGGCCATAATGGCCCTGAAATCGCTCACCTGTATTAGGCCCCTTGGAGCGGAGCTAATATTTTAACCCAGGGGTTTTTATTTGAACAAACTTGGTAGACACCCATTTGAAGATGTTTCATGATAAATATCGAAGCACTAGCTCCAAGAAGATTTTCTAAGTTTTAACCATACACATATAGAGATAAACAATGACCCCCACCTCTGGGCAGGGCCAATTTTGTCCCCAGGGCTTTTATTTGAACAAACTTGGTAGACACCCACTAGAAGATAATTAATGCTTAATATCTAAACTCAAGCTCTTTGGGGTTTTTAACAGAAGATTTTTTAAGTTTTTACCTTACACATATAAGGAAAATCAATGACCTCGGGGCGGGGCCAATTTTAATCCCAGGGCCCTTATTTGAACAAACTTTGTCGACACTCATTAGAAGATGTTTCATGCTAAATATCTTAGCTCTAGCTCTTAGGGTTTTTTTTAAAAGAAGATTTTAAAAGAAGATTTTTTAAGTGTTTACTATATACATCAAGGGCAAAACAATGACCCCCTGGGGAGAGGCCTATTCTGACCCCAGGGCTTTAATTTGTACAAACTTGGTAGACAACCACTAGAGGATGTTTCATGTTTAAAAGCTAAGCTCTAGCTATTTGGGTTTTTCAAGTTTTTACTATATGCAAATAAGGAAAATCAATGTCAATTTGACCTTGACTTTTGACCTTAAGGCCCCAAAAATAATAGGGGTCATCTTCTAGTCATGAACAATCCCTATACCAAGTTTGAAGTTTCGAAGGCTTTAGTTCTTCGGTTATTGATCGGCAACCATTTGGTCTACGGACCAACAGATGGACCGACAGACAAATGCAAAGCAATATACCTCCACTTCTTTGAAGTGAGGCATACTTATCATATTGAAATACACACCAAAGAGCTATGTTTTTGTCACATGAATACTTAGTGATAATCATATATGCTACAGCTTTCGCTGTGAAGTACAGGCCAGACATGTCACCAGTCATGCCCTAAAAGAGCTAATTTTGAAGCACAGAGTGGTGATAATTTACCTCCATGCAATTGTCATAGAGTATATATACTGACTGAAAACAACAATGATGTTGGTTTTTAAATAATAAGCGTTCAAAGAAACATATAGATAATTCAAAGCACAAAATATTATGCCTCAAAAATAATCAAAAATCAAAATGCTATGCTTACAAATAATTTTCTTCCTTTTAAATATCTCCCTTTACATTTATAACATCAATATTGACACAAACATCATTATTTGTACAAAACTGATCATTCTACTTTTACAAATTGATGATACATGCTTAGTGGTTAAGAAGGCTAAAAACTCACCAATGCACATGTATATCCAAGAATATTCTGAATATGGTACAATCCCACCTAATTCAATTTAAAACTTACATTTCAAAATACTTGTACAGTGAGGTGTATAATTTTTCTACCTTTGATAGCTCACTATTACCAAACAAGAGGGCCATGATGGCCCTGAAATCGCTCACCTGTATATAGACCCCTGGGCCAAGGCCAATTTTAAACCAGGGGCATTTATTTGAACAAACTTGGTAGACACCCATTAGATGTTTCATGATAAATATCCAAGCTCTAGCTTTTTAGGGGTTTTATAAGGAGATTTTTTAAGTTTTTACTATATACATATAGGGAAAACAATGATGAATTTTGATCCCAGTGCTTTTATTTGAACAAACTTGGTAGACACTCACTAAAAGATATTTCATGCTTAGTATCTAAACTCTAGCTCTTTCTGTTTTTATAATAAGATTTTTTAAGTTTTTACTATATACAAATAAGGAAAATCAATGACCCCCTGGGGCGGGGCCAGTTTTGACCCCAGGGCATTTATTTGAACAAACTTGGTTGACACCCACTAGAGGATGTTCCATGCCAAATATATAAGCTCTAGCCCTTTCGGTTTTCTAAAAGAAGATAATTTTAAGTTTTTTCTTTTGGTTACCATGGAATTCTGCTTGGAATTAAATTCTTTGAACAATTTTTAAAGTTGATTACCAAAGGAACATTCCTGTGAAGTTTGGATGAAATTGGCTTAGCTGTTTATAAGGAGATGTCATTTAAAGCAAAAGTTTACAGACGGACGCTGGACGAAAAGCGATCACAAAAGCTCACCATGTCACTTTGTGACAGGTGAGCTAAAAATTTAAGTATTGCACTTTTTTCAGAAAATATTTTTTCATGATTCCCACAGAAACACAAATCTTACAGACCTTACTTTTTCCTGAAAAAAAAAAGAATTCATACCTGATGACCAATTAAATTGTCTTGACCAATTTTCAATACAAGTGTAGTCATCTCTACAATCTTCCCACCATGCATCACATTCTGTCTGACATAATGGTACATCTACAAACCTCTCCTTTCTGATCTTCATACCGCTTACCTATAACAGTAACAAAACTGTTTACTAGAACACTCCCTGTGCTTGATATTGCTGTTACAATTGAGAACATTAACCAGGTAGAAAATTTCCCAAGTTCACAAAAGGGAATTATTCAGAATTTCAGAATATAATAGAATATAAAGAAGCTGTTGAAGTTCTTTCTGTTTGTTTTAAGCTCTTGTTACTATATAATAATGTATATCAAAGCTACAATGTAAATTCAATCTAATTCTTCAGTCTTCAGCAGTAAATGTAAGACATGCAAGAATGCAAGAGGCCATATTATAAGAATTCTGAAGGTGTTTTAATGGAAGGTTATCTTTAATATGTAAAGTTCTGACTCAGACTAAAGACACAGTGATCTATCTTTAAATTTCAAGTTTCTTTCACATTCACATAGTATGGTTAACATTAAGTCTGCTGCCAAATATATATTTGAATTTTTTTTCTCACATGAACTCACAATTCTTGTAAATTGTATCATACTTTTCCATGATTAACATTATAATACTATTATAATAGTGTTTGCATTTGATTTTAAATGCATTTTCCTTGACAATATTTAAATCATATACATGTATATGACAATGTATCTGTGAAACAGCAGGTACAATACATAACTTTATAGTGCTGCTTTCCGAAATTCAAGTATCAGGACAAACACCTTTTGACATGATCCCTATTAAAGTCTGATAAGCACCTTGAAAAGACAAGCCCTAGAACTATCCCCTTCATGGTGAGTGCCAAGCTTAAAAGTAATTAATCCTTAACCTGGAGAATTTTCTTAAATGGACTTGTCTAGCTTCCATTTCTGATCTGTCAATGATCAATTTTGGGGGATATCAAGATGAAAATTTGAAGTTGGTCAGCCAACATTATAAAGCCTACAGATGTAGCAAAGGCTAATACAGGTTAGTTCAAGTTTCATCTGTAAACAGATTATCTATAATGATGTAATACCAGTACAAAACCTTTCATACCTTCACTAACCATGGGCCAACATTTGGTGAACATTCATAAAAGCATAGGTCCTGAATAAACCTTCCTCTACATTTATCTGACAGAGGCTGCTGTGGACAATGGCTCCAGTCCATCTTATACCACGTCTTGTTAACATGTATGTCCTTAGCTAAACTTTCTGTACAGCAACTTCGGTCTTTCCATGGACGGCACTGGAATTATCAAATTGTTAAGATAATAAACACTCTCTGCAGTTATTTATATAAAAACTCACCTTAAAATACATCTTGTAAATTCAGTAAATAACCATCTCTGTTATTTCACTAAACTGTTTCTATTTATATTTATGGACCTGACACAAAATATACCGTATAACAGACAGTCACCATGTTAAGCAAGTGTGACCTTAGAGGTAGACTTTGTCCTCATTGCAATGCAGCACTGGTAACAATAATGTAAATCTAACAATTATAATACAAAGGCCTTCTTACTTCAATAATTCAAACAGATTTTACAAGAAACAAAGATGTTATTGGTTTTCATGTAACTGTGACCTTGAACTTTGACCTACTTATTTTAAAGTTAATACAGGTCATCTAATAGCCATGACCAACCCCAAAACCAAACCTTAGGACTATAGGCCAAAGTATTCTCTAGTGTTTGGTCAAACAAGCTTTTAGCTATAAAGGCCACCTTGACTTCAAACAACTGACCTAATATTCAAAAGGCATCATGACCAATCTAGACACCTAATGTAAGGTCTGTGGGACAAAGCATTTGTCAAGTAAGCTTTTAGTGGTGAAAGCAATCAAAACCATGACCTTTGACCTAATGACCTCAAAATTAATAGGAGTCATGAAATAGTAATGACCAATCTCCAAATGAAATATAAGGACTGTAAGATAAAAGTTTTCTCTATTATTGCTCTGACAAGCTTTTTAAAGGTCAAGAGCAAGCTAACAGTGGTTAAGGCCACAGTGACCTTGACCTACTGACCTACTGACCTCAAAATCAATAGGGATCCTCTACTAGTCTGACATGACCACACCAAAGTTACGCTGTATGCCATAGCATTATTTTTTTTCTACATAAGAGACAAGCTTTTAGTTTTAACGCAATGACATTGACCTTTGACCTAATGAAAGAAAGCTAGACACTACTTATGTTTTGATGCTTTCACTAAATGATAGTCCTTGTAGCATAGGTATTTGTAACTTATTACATACAAGAAGACCTGTTGCTAATTTGTAGAGAACTTGTGGATTAACCTTGTCAAATATTCTGTAATTATCCTGTGTTGTTATTTTAAGTTCATATTTCTTTCTGACAATAAAAATTGTTTAAATCAATGATTATGTTTAGAAAGTATGTAAAATTTAATGATTTATATATAGTGTAAATTATAGTGACAAATTTTTAGCATAATTATATAAAATTATGGGTATCAGTGCAGTGACATTTTAAATTTAGAACCAAAAAAAAACACATGAATAGTAACAAAAACACAAAATGACGGCTCTATGTAATTCTAGAACTAAAATGATTTAAGCATGATAATAAAAAAACAAGGATCTAATTGTTACATAAGAATGTGGATCAATAACAAATTGCATGTATTGACTATCTTATCTATTGTGCACGCATGCTTATAAATTGTGCAAGTTAAAAATAAACCAATAATCATACTGTTCAATTTATTAGATATAGAACAAGTTTTCTCCTGGATTATGACGACAAAACATAGGTGAGTGTTTTAACTCTATAAAAATTTGAATAAATCTAATTTTTTATAACATTTTTTTTTTTAAATAATTGAAAGACAATTACAATGATGTAAATCATTAACTTTATCTTAAAAATGGCAGTATTTAAACAAGACTAACTTTGAAATGATAAATAAACAAATATATACATAATATACATGTAATTATCATTATGACAACAGGGTATATTAATGTTTGATTTTATTAACCTGTCAATTGCATACTGATTATACAGTCAGTGCAGACGATATAGTTTTCTTCAAAAGATTATTGGTGACTGTTTAAATTTATTGTGTGTCTATAAGACAACGGTACTGAAGATTTCAGCACAATAGGGTAAACAAGTTATGTCATAATTTCTACATGTCTATACATGTTGTCAGATTGAGATTGAACTCACAGGTCCATTTATTTAAATTAATATACATGTATCTTTTCAACATTATTGTTATTGAAGTTATGATTGTTTTATGATGTTATTGTTGTAATGTTGTTTTTTTAAACATGTTTTGCAGATATTTGGTTTTAACTTTTAATGATTTTATATGATTGAAGTATATATTATCTAAAATTCAATTTAAAGTGAAATTTATTTAATTCAATGTCCTTTTTCTATTCTAATTCTTAATATTCAAAGTTTTAAAAGGTTTTAAGTTAAAAAAAAATACATAATATTTTTTCTAGCTTTATACATATTTAACATGTATTAATACAATATGATAAAATACAGGAAGTTATTTGGGTGCGAGTTGTACCAATTTTATATCTTAATACATTCCACTGGTTACAGTGACACCCAGATCTTATATCCTACAACATTTCACTGGTTACAGTGACACCCAGATCTTAAATCCTATAACATTTCACTGGTTACAGTGACACCCAGATCTTATATCCTATAACATTTCACTGGTTACAGTGACACCCAGATCATATATCCTATAACATTTCACTGGTTACAGTGACACCCAGATCTTATATCCTATAACATTTCACTGGTTACAGTGATACCCAGATCTCATATCGGATCCTTTAACATTTCATAGTTATGGTGACACCTGATCCTATAACATTTCAATGGTTACAGTGACACCCAGATCATATATTTTATATCATTTCACTGGTTACAGTGACACCCTGATTTTATATCCTATAACATTTCACTAGTTACAGAGACACCCTGATCTCACATCCAGTAACATTTCACTTGTTACAGTGACACCCAGATATTTTATCCTCTAACATTTCACTGGTTACAGTGACACCCAAATCTTATATTCTATATCATTTCATTGGTTACAGTGACACCCAGTACAGAATTATATCTGATCCATTTTTCATATTATCAAGAATAATTAAGGTCTTTAAAATAAACTTTTGAAGTGCCTTATTTCTAGTCATCCATAGTATTAATGGTTACACATGTATTTCAATTTAGTGTATATTGTAAATTGTAATTGTGTACATGAAGTGTCATTTTGATGACTTAATTTAAAAGTTGTTTATGTATTTTTTGCAGAACCTTGTTTCTGGGTGGAAGGTATCAAAAAGTACTATGTGCCAGAAGACATGATAGTGAGCCAGAAGACATGACAGTGTTGCCAGGAAACATGACAGTGTGCAAGAAGACATGAAATTTGGTTATAGCATGTATGATTTTAAACTGATCATAAACAAATCAAAAAGCTCCAGAGTAAATCCAAGTGCAAACATTACTTTTCATGCACATATGACTTTGATACAATTGATGTTTAATTATGTCACATGCCATACATTATTTACTGTATAGAATAACAATTTAGCCTCAAATGTTACTGATTTAATTTTGGGTGAAACTACAGACAGTGGACCAACATCGTACTCATACTTCTAACCTACTAATTCATAATAATTTATCACTCTTGAAAAAACACAATAATAACTATTGGTTTGGATAGCGTATACCAGTATATCTTTTCTGTATTCACTATGAGATTTTCATAATTTACAGACAATAGAGATTTCAAAAGCTACAGTCATAGGTTTTTTTTAATCTAATTTATTAGTTATTGTGTACATTATAATTTTTTTGGTGTTTTTTTTTTTACAGAAATTCTCGCTTCACGCTAGATTATTTGATGGCCACTTGTCTGTATCTTTGACATATTGGGAAACATTTGCAAAAGCTGAAATGAAAAAACAACTTGATGGAAGTCCTCGGGTAAGTAAACACATTGACAGTGACAGTGGCTTTTTTTTATTAAAAAAATTCAATTCAAAATGTGTGTATAAGTTTGAACTTAACAACAATTAAGTTTTTTTATACATTCCCAGCTTTAAATCTAGAACAGTCAATTAAAACTTTAAGGGATTTCAATATCAATATTGTGCTACTAACAGTATCGAGCCTGGTCAAGACTATATACTGTAGATATTCTTGACCCCAGGGCCTTGATTTTAATAAAAGTTGTTGGCCATGTTACACATATATCTAACATTTTAGCTTTCAAATTTCTCAAAAATTCTGACAAGATTTGCTATGAATTGATTAAGTCTTTGTAAAATAAAATGACCTTTTATTTTGACAGTAAGTAAGTAATGAAAATCTTGACTGAGGTTCATTAAGTAATGCTACATACCAAATATCCAAGCTTTCAGCCATGAAATTTTGAGTAGATTTTAAAAAATTTTAACTTAAAAAAATCATTTTTATATACATGTTGCCCATCAATATAACAGATACAAAACCATTTGAGCCGCGTCACGACAAAACCAACATAATGGGTTTGCAACCAGCATGGATCCAGACCAGCCTGTGCATCCGCGCAGTCTGATCAGGATCCATGCTGTTCGCTAACAGTTAATCTACTTACAATAGAGTTGGTAAGCGAACAGCATGGATCCTGATCAGACTGCGCGAATGCGCAGGCTGGTCTGGATCCATGCTGGTCGCAAACGCACTATGTTGGTTTTGTCGTCACATGGCTCATTTGATGAACTTTGTAGAAACTTATGGCAAGAATCATTTGGCCAAGTACATTGTGAGTTCAGAGATGTTGCTCTAAACAAATGGAGACTAGAGGCAACAATTTACTGATAAACCTTACATAGACCAAACTGGCGAATTGGAAATTCAAAAAGGTATGTTAAATTTATTCACTTACTTTGGCATTTAGAACAAAGTAAGCTTAACTGCTTATCCAAACAAACAAAATTATCAGAACTCAAATTTAAATCTCAAGATAATGTTTTTAAATAATTTTCATCTGAAAAGTAGTGACTCTGTAAATTTTAAAGACGCCAATACAATTTGAGAGAAGCATTTAAGCACTCATGAATGATTTTAAACCATTATGAATTTTAGTTGGTAGTAAAATTTTCAAAAGCCAGTCAGTTTTCTGGCTTGATGTAAGTAATTATGACAAGAATTTGCCCACTAAAAGAGACTTGTAAGCCATTGTACCTGTAAAACAAAGAAAATAAGTCCTCTAAGTATGGAACAAAGTCTCCCTCCAAGTTTATTTTGTTGTGGCACTGTAACTATTATCATCATAGCTTTGTGTTTCTTTTTAAAGCTCATAGAAGTATAGATAGACTGTTTCTGTATTTAACAGTGCTTATTATTTATAAAGTAGTTTTATTTTACTGGGAATGAATCATCGACTAGCACTCCCATTGCAGCATTAATTATATATATACAAGTGTTGCATCTTCTACAGGATCTGATACAAAACTGATAAACAACAGTGCCATGACAGCCCTATATTGCTCACCTGAATGTACAGGAATATTTTTTAAGTTTTCTCTATAATCATGATAATTGAAACACAATCCTTCCAATAATTTCTGTAGTCAGTTACTTACTTACTATATGAATAATTTCTCATTAAAAATTTCAAAATCTTACCCACCGTTTTTGAACAGAATAGTTTTAACATTTTTCCTTTCCATTGCCATGGCAACCAGAGATCTGCATGGAATGGAAAGATGGTCAACAAAGTAACATATCTATTACATTTTGATGATACTGACCCAGTGATATAGGAGGTGTCACATGTTCTTAATTATTGAATTATTATCAAAATGATTAAAGTAAATGGCATGCGTAATGAAAACTCTCAAACCTTATCAAAAAGACCCGATTCTGGTCCTGGTGCTTTTTTATGACTTATTCCATCAGTGCATATGTTTAAATATTCATCTGGTGATGAGAACTGTAACAATCTATTCCCATAACATCCCAATACTTGTAGGAGTTGTAAAATCAGGTAAACTGTCAACTGTCCTTTACCCTTCGTCCTTAAAAAAGAATAAGAAAAACTTAGTTGTAAACCAATATAAAGTATAGGTTTTAGATACATTTTGCAAATATATGAACATTATATTTTTACAGATAACATTTTAAAATTTGACAAGCTGGATCAACACTGAACTGGAGAAGTGCCATGTTGTAAAATTTAAAAGGTTAACTGTAGTATTATGCTTTAAACAATTATACAGCAGTGTAAACCAAAAGCTGTACATGTTTTAAATAAATGTAAAATGTTGAGACCAATATGAAGTAGCGGAGAAAGTTTGTCAAAGTATGAGAGGCTTAAAAAGGGCTTAAAGCCCTTCCATCAGAGCCCAGAATCATCCTACAAGCATCTGCCTACAAAAATTCTGATTTCAAGATAAAATAAAACAACTATCAGTCAAATAGAACTGATAATTAATGTATGTCACTTTATTCAAATGCCAGATAATAAATCAGAATGATATTCAGTAATAATTGTTCAGCTGTTACCAACAGTTAAGTTCCCAAAGTTAAGTTCCATGATGGTAATTTGATATGTTGAATAGTTGATGTAGTGTAACTAGTAATAAGTATTAAGTAGTATACAGGAAGAAGTATCAAGAAGACTGAATAGCATGGTTTGCATTACTATTCCTTAAGCACATTTGCTGGAATACAGCTACCAGTTTACAGTGTACACTGGTGTGCCCCAGCACCAAATTAGTCACTAAGCACGTTATTGTTCTAATTTGCAATGCGCAATCGACTGATTTCAAAAAAAGGAAAAAAAAACAACAATGGCCGCTGATAATAATTACAGATCTGATACAGATAAAAACAAATCGAGAAAGATTGCACATTTAGAGAACACTGCATCTCAGAGGTATGTTGAAAAGTTAGTGTTTGAAGGCAGAGATTTACCAGATCCCTACTCGATTGATAAAAGTAAATGGGAAAATGCAGTGACAAAGTGGCCGAACTTTCTTACCCGGGAAATCTACAATTATTTGATTAACTACCTGGGAACATACACTAGCAAAAGCCTAAAGGCATACAAATCATTGGAAGGCTATAACTTACTTATAACATAAATTTTGATCCTTATGCTTCGAAAACGCTGTCAAAAATTACGAATAGCTGCCAATACTACAACAATTTAAAAATTAACAACACATTCTGTATGCACAGGTTGATCAGCATTACCATACCTTTATGATTTCAGACTTGGAAAAGCATGTAGCCATGTTGCTGCATTATTATTTAAGGTGATGATGGCTACACTGTGGGGACTGAATAGAGAATCCAAGACCAGTGTTTCTGTACATGGAACCAGTTTTATAGAAAGAAGGTAAAATTGACAATCTGCTTTAATAATTTCAAGTGATTTACCTAAATATCTTACCAAAGGCCTTCAGTACGCTAGCTGGATAGCTTATTGAATAATAGTATACTAGTAGTACAATCTAAAAGTACGACATACAATGTCTTTCTGCCTTAGCAGACATGAATATCAAGTCACTAAAAGGATCGGTTTCCTTTTTAAACATCTTGAAGTGATTATCACCAATTATTTTATCAAATCTATCTATCTATTTTTCTTACATTAATGTCAAACCCCTTGTTGGGAAGTAGACATGACTCTAGAAAAGTCACTTCAGAGATAGCTATGAGATACAAGGGAATCTGGGAACCAGTTACAAGCTCTTGGTTAAACTCATTTATTTAAGCTTGATTGCTAAACAAGTTCTTGTAACTTATAATAATCACTTTCGATTCTGCTTCCTGGAACCAACCAGTACTGGTGTCATATGAAGAAACATGGTCTTGACCCGAGTAGGGCTCCAACCAATGATCTCTGGGTTGAGAGGCAGACACCTTAACCACTAGGCCTTTGCTCCCCTAGCTCTTATTGAATAGACCCCTTGGTTCTTTTGCATGCCCAGTGTATAGCACTGATACATGCGAGGATTACCTGGATTTCTTACCATAATGTTGATTTTGTCATGGTGCGACTCAAATATAAATCATAATGACAAAATGAAAATATTTATAAAACATGACTAGGCCATATTTCATTCATTCCATTGTAGAAGGAAAAGCATCCAGTGTATTTGTGATAGCCACCTCAGATGGTAGAACTCAACCTCTGCAAAGATGCAGGGTATGCCAATTGATGCAAGTTGAATTTATATAAACACACCAAGCAGCCTTCAACAGGCTGGTGAAAATGTCCGATTGGGCTTAAGACATAAAATATCATATTTCTAGAAAGATAATTAATATGTTTCTCTCTTACTTGCTTTGATTATTAAGCATTGATATATGATACAAATCAAAATAAAAATATTTTGGTTATCTTTTATTTTCTTAGAATTATTTCCTTTTTTCCTCTAGAAACCATGGAGCTAAATACAAGATGGAGAAGAGACTGTGACGTCACACTGTTAAAATCAGTATCCGTGGAATTGTGTTCCCGCAAGTTTTCAATGTCGCTAGATTTTGCGAGATTTGATGCATCCTGGGTAAAAGTAGCCAAAATACCGCCATATTGAATTCCCAGAGGTACATCAACAAAAAATACTAAACATTTTTTACTTATATAAGAAGCAATAGTTATTTATTCTAAAACATACAAAACACACTTTTCCACACAAATATTTCTACGATGAAAATCCATGTCGGCAAAGTAAGCAATAATTCACGGATATCGCCGAAGTTTGCAGGGTTGTCATTAAGGGGCGGCAGGAGGCCAAAATGCCTGTCTCAAATGCATTATGGGCTGCCTCAAAATTAAGAAAACACTCTTTGTTATGCATGATAAAGACAGAAATGACCGCCTCAAGTTCAAAACAAACCTTCTGCAAAAAATGTTAATGACAACCCTGAGTTTGACGATAGCATGAAAATCAGAGACTAGCGGGAAAGCCCGATTATCACCAAAGCGCGCAAAGGATTGTGGGTATGAATCAGACTCTCGTCTTTTTTCGGAGTTTCCTATCCGTTGTTTATATATCTGTTTAGAAACAAAATATTTGAAGTTCATAAAAATTATATTGTAATGTAAAATTCTAAATAGAAATGTGTCCAACAACTTCATTTTGCTCTAGATAATTGCGCCAGTACCTTTATTCTATATATTTGGATTAAATATTCTGTTTCTGGCATTTATATTTTGACAATTCTTTGACACTAAACATTATACTTTGAAGTTTTTTCTGAAAACTGAATGAAATGTATGCTGACAGGTGTTGGCGCAATGAATTAGACCATAAAGAAGTTATTAAACCTATTTTGTTTACACTTTGCATATGTAACATACTTTTTAAGGACTTCAAAAATTGTGTTATAAGAACATGAAAAAGGGGAAATAATTCTCACAAAAGTGACAGTAGCCAAATATTTTTCTTTCTCAGTCTATGTCTAATATTATTCTCAATAAACAAACAATGTTTAAAAGAAATATCTTTATTTCTTTTCTAGAGATATGATTTTTTATGACATAAGCCCGATCAGCCTGTTCAAGGTCTTAAAATTTGTAACATTTGTCATTTCTGATTACATAAAGAAGCAAGATCAGGCAACAGAAAAAACAATTTGTTTAGCATTTAACAGAAAGCTACTGTAGTCTGAATTGTAACTGAATTCAATTTGCTTTAAAAGAGTAAAGATGCATACAATGATACTATTTTTTTTATATTTTCATGAAAATTTATTACCACATGAGACCCATGTTAAAATTCGCAACTTCTCGGCCTTTTCAACCAACACGAAGTGGCCAAAACACGCACGAACCACCCAATTTTAATTCGTACTCATTATTTTCGCATAAACTAGAACTCCGCGAGTCGGATGTGTCGCCTTGTGAACAGTACTGTATAGCATTCACAAGGGCATTTTCTTTTTAATTAGCATTCACAAGGGCATTTTCTTTTTAATTATAGATTTATTATACTGTACAATAAACACTGCTCTTACAATGCACATGTACCTGTAACTTTAGTGGCATTTGAACTGATTGTAACAATGCTACACCAGGATTAATAAAACTGTTATATTACCAAACATAAAAATTCCATGGAAAAGTTTTCCACCGACAGATCAAATTGAGGACTTTGTGATGGATTCTTAAGTACTGCACTTCAGTTCAAAGAAAAAAAGTACATACCAAATTTGGAGTCAATCAAACTTATAATTAAAATAGTGACCAAGTTATGCTCTGGACAAGCCTATTAAGTAAGAAAATTAACAAAGGGCAATAACTCAAATGATGTGCAGAGTACTTGTAAGTTCTTGTGCTCTTCACTTCTTCTCAATTAGATCTATCATCATATGAAGTTTCAAGTCAATAACTTTAAATGTGTAGGAGAATTGGCCTGGACAAAAATAAAGAATTATAATTAACAAAGGGCAATAACTCTAAATCATCAAGTATAGAGTACCGTTTTTGTGCCTTGCACATCTGCTCCATGAGATCTATCATCCTATGCAGTTTCAAGTCCATAGCTATTATAATTTAGGTGAAATGGCCAGGACAAAAAAGTATGAAAATTTACAAAGGGCAATAACTCAAAAATCATGGAGTACCGGTTGTTGTGCATTGCACTTCATCGCAATGAGATCTATCATCCTAAGAAGTTTCATATCCATAGTTTTTATAGTTTAGGAGAAATGGCCCGGACAAAAATTAAGTATGAAAATAAACAAAGGGCAATAACTCAAAAATTAAGAAGTGCAGAGTAACGAGTCTTGTGCACTGCACTTTGGGTCATTGAGAGAAGATAAAATATCATAATTACCAAGATATAGTAAAACAGAATCCCTAAAGAAATTGACTCCAAGTTTGAAGTCAATCTGACTAAAAGTGGCTGAGTTATGCTCCGGACAAGCTTAAGGGGGCGCCGACACGGACGAAGCCGACAAAAGAAACCCCTAGCTACATGTACACTTAACAAATCTTATAAGTGTGCTTGTATAAATGGTGTCATATGTGTGCCAATTTTGGTAAGATCCTGCTGAAATTTTCAATAAATACAGCTGAGAGACATGATATAATATTCCAATTATCAAATTTCATGAGAAACACAACTTTGATGAACATGTCGAATAAATGTGATATCGCGTTATAAGTAAATGTCACAAAATAAATGTATCATTGAAAATTATTCTAATATTGTATGCATGTGGTGACTGTTGATTACAACTTGGCAGCGTTGTCCTATGGATGTGAACCAATATTTTTCATAATATTGGAGTTTATTATTCACTATTGGACACTTTTCGCATATGTGTAGGCGATGGTTTGTGGAACTGCACCAAAACTTCTTATGAGGTTGTTCATTTCACCCCGTAATGCTTCTTTTATATTTTAGTATAGCATGAAATTTTGGTAATATTCCATTAGGTTGATGTTGTTTATAAATGTTCAGAAAGATTTTTTGGCGTTTTGGACGTGTATATCTGTTATATGACATCCTGTAGAAACTGCAATCATATGTTGTTCTTTAGACATTGTTAAAACCTTAGTATGAGGTTCATCATATTGGTGGTGATTGGCACTGGGATGACCGTTAATGAACATATTGTTAGTGACAGCAGTCTTTCTGAACTTCCCTGTGGCTTGCAAATTTCAGACAATTGCCCAGTAACGAAAAAAGATTTCTGGAAACTAAAATCTACCACAAAATCATATTCAAAACGATAAATTAGACTGCTGTGCTTTGAAAGTCAAAGTAGGCATACGTTGATTTAGAATTAAAGTCACAGATGTAATAATTTTGTGACATTTACTTTTTACGCATCATCACATTTAATGGACATGTGTGTTGAAATTGTGTTTGTTACGGAATAAAATAACTGGAATATCATTCCATGTCTTTCAACTGTATTTGTGGAAAATTTCATCATCATACGGTCAATATTGACTCACATTATAAGATGTTTATACATGCACACTTATAAGATTTGTTAAGTGTATATGTCGCCTTTTTCAACGCGACACAAAAAAAATGTAGGCCACATGCTTCGTACGTTAATAGTAAATAATTACTTGTCTTTTTCGACCAAAAGCAAGCTATTTCATCGTTTTGTATGCCCCTAATACAATAATTAAAATTTAAGATTGGACATTAATAGACATTATAGATGATTTCTAAAGATATCAAGGGAATGTGGCATTAAGAATTATACTAACACACGTTTAATGACCCTGATAATTACAGGGGCATAATTATATTAAATTGTTTTATTAAACTCTTTACTACTGATACTACGAGCTAAGCGAGCGAGTGGCGGATTGATTGTATATGTGAAGGAATCATTGCAAAATGGAATTACATTAGTAGAAAATCAAATTGATTGTCTTGTATGGATTAAACTAGATAAACAATTTTTCAAAACGGATGATGACTGGTATATAGCTTCAGTTTATATTGCGCCTGAAAATTCACCTATTCATGATATTTATAATGTTGATATATTCCAAAAACTAGAGCAGGATATAACAAAATTTGCACAATGTGGACGCGTAATTGTAGCTGGAGACACAAACAGTAGAGTTGGGCAGAAGTGTGATTTCATAGAAAATGAATCAATCACAGACTTAGACTTAAATCAAATCTTAAACGATACCCCATGTCCCAGACGCTCAATGGACTATAAAAATAACCGTTTCGGGGATTTGATCCTTGATCTGTGTAAAGCGGTAAATATATGTTTGGTCAACGGGAGATCAAGGTCAATCGGTGATAACGGAAATATGACGTGTATGACGCATAACGGAGAAAGCATGATTGATCTAGTATTGACCCGCTATATAAACTTCGAATACATTGTTGATTTTAAAGTACATAATTATACCGTTTACTCGAATCACGCCCCTGTTTCATTTGGATTAAAAGTGTATCATCAAAATAACATAACAAATAATGGTCGGAATACATACTATAAATGGAATCCGGAGTTCAGAGAACAATTCAGGAATGAAATTTTTTCGGATAAAAATGTGCTCGATGATATCGTGGAAAATGCGAATTATTCGACTGATAAAAAGACACAATTATACACGGAATTTATTGTATCCAGAGCAGAAAAATATTTCAAAAAAAACGTCACCGTCTGTGAAGAAATCAAACTTTCTCAACGGAAAACCTCGTGAATTAAATAAGTGGTTTGACCATGTGTGTAACGGGAAACTGCAGACATACAAAGAGGCTATTGAAAAATATACATGTGAAAAAAGTAATGAAAATTTTACAAATATGAAGCAATGTAGAAAAGATTATAAATATTGTGTTAAAAAGTCGAAGAGGCAGTTTAATTTAAAACGGGCTAGAGAAATGAATGAAATGAGGCGGAAAAAACCACGCGAATTCTGGAATATGTTTCGTACTAAAAGTAAAAATGTAAGTGAAAATATCTCTATGGAAGAGTTCTACTCGCATTTCCAAAATCTAGCTGAGGCTAGCGATGACGTCAATCCGGAAGTTGAGGATTTTTTGAAGAGTTTTGACCAGAATGATATGAGGAATGGAACACCGTTAGAAGACATTGATTTGCCTATAACACAGGGAGAAATTCGGAAAGCATGTTCTAAATTAAAAAGAAATAAAAGTAGTGCTATAGATAGTATGATAAATGAGTATTTTATTGAAACGATAGATATTGTAATTGATTCATTAGAAATTTTATTCAACGACATTCTTAACAGCGGTCATTTTCCAAAGAAATGGTCACAGGGTGTAATAGTTCCATTATTGAAAAAGCCGCCGGCGTCGGATACAAATAACTATCGTGGAATAACATTAACAAGTTGCTTTGGTAAACTGTTTACAACCGTGTTAAACGAAAGGCTAAAAAAGTGGTCAGTAGACAATGAACGTCTAACAGATGCGCAGTTTGGCTTTAGATCTGGACACAGCACCACTGATGCTTTGTTCATTTTACAGTCTCTAATCAATATGTACAATACTAAAAACAAACGTTTATATGCAGCTTTTATAGACTACCAAAAAGCATATGATAGCATTTATAGAAATGGCCTATGGTATAAACTCATCAAAGAAGGAATTAATGGGAAAATGCTCACATTATTGAGATCAATGTATGAAGAAGTACAATCATGTGTCAAACATATGAACTCATTGTCTGAATTCTTCTCCTGTGACATGGGACTTTTTCAAGGGGAGATAACTTCGCCGATTTTATTCTCATTTTTCCTTAATGACCTAGAAATACATTTACAATCAAATATTTCCTCAGGTGTAAACTTAGATCACGTATGCATTTACCTTATTTTATTTGCTGATGATTGTATTTTGTTAAGTGATTGCAATCGCATCTAGATTTATTATATGACTATTGTAGGCGTTGGAAATTAACGGTAAATACGAACAAAACGAAAATCGTGGTATTTAAAAAGAGAGGACAATTGCATTCAAATGAACACTGGACATACTTTGGGAATGATATAGAGATTGTTGACAGTTTTAATTATCTAGGATTTGTAGTTTCTAGTAATGGACTATTCAAACGTGGTATAGACACACTGTCTGGCAAAGCAT